TTCTATAAAATTTTCAAAGGTATCATTTTTAGAAATAATGTTGATATTTAGACATCGAGATAAAGCATCTGCGTTAGTATTAAACTTTCCTGGTTTATGAATAATCTCAAATTCGTATTCATTAAGTAATAATCCCCATCTAATCAGTCTACTTCCGGGATTTTTACAGTTTAAAAGCCAAGTGATTGGTTTATTATCGGTTACAATTTTAAACTTTCTACCATATAGGTAGAGGTAGCATCTAAAATGTTTAATGCTCCAAATTACTGCTAATAATTCTTTTTCCATAGTTGTATAATTTTGTTCGGCAGAATTTAACGTACGACTTGCGTATGCAATAGGTAGGTCCTGCCCGATCTCACCTTGACTTAAGACCGCACCAATCGCATAGTCTGAAGCGTCGGTCGTCAAAATAAATTCTCTTGAAAAATCTGGATATTGAAGTAAAGGTTCATTTATTAGAATTTCTTTAAAGGTGTCGAAAGATTCTTGACATTCTTGAGACCAAATAAAAGCAACATTTTTCTTTAGAAGATTAGTCAATGGTTTAGCAATTTTTGCAAAACTGTTGATAAATTTACGATAATATCCAATTAAACCTAGGAAACTTTTTACTGTTTTTTGATTTTTAGGAATGGGAAAGTTTTTTATTGCTATAGTTTTTTCTGGTTTTGGTTTTACTCCTGATTCAGAAATGATATGACCGAGATAAGAGATTTCTTTACGGAGGAATTCACATTTGTCGGGTTGTAACTTTAAATTATTATTTCTGAGTCTGTCGAAAACCGCTTCAAGACGTGAGACATGTTGATTTAGATCTGATCCATAAATAACTATGTCGTCTAGATAAACGAAACACTGTAACCCTTGTAAACCAGTAAGAACTGCATTCATTAGTCTTTGAAAACAAGCGGGTGCATTTTTTAATCCAAAAGGCATTCAATTAAATTCCCAGTGACCTAAAGGTGTAGTGAAAGCGGTTTTTGGTTTATCTTCTTCTCTCATTGGAATCTGATGGAAACCAGAAGCCAAATCGAGTGTGGTGAAATATTTACTATGGCCTAATTGATCTAAAATTTCTTCGATATTTGGCATTGGATATGCATCACCCACTGTAACTTCATTCAATTTTCTAAAATCAACCACTACGCGCCATTTTTGTTCCCCCGAAGCGTCCATTTTTTTGGGTACTACCCATAGAGGGGCAGACCAAGGCGATGCAGACGGTTGAATTATTCCCTGTTGTAACATTTTATTGATTTGTTTATTAACTTCGGTTTTATGAATTTCTGGGTATCTGTACGTTTTTGTATGAATGGGCTTAGAATCAGAGATGTTTATTTCATGTTTAATAGTGTTAGTACAACCAAAGGTATCTCCAGGTAGAAAGAAAATATCTTCATAATTTTCACAAAGATTAGTTATGAAGCTCTTTTCTTCTTGGTTTAAATGGTCTAATCTAAGATTTTGTTTCAATAGTTGGCTCCTATTTTTAATAAAATTATTTTCAGTACTTTGTTCCGAAGCAAAATAACAGTAGCTTTCTTTAGGAATCTGTTCTAAATAGATTGAAATAGGTTTTAATTGAAAATCAATTATTTTTGAGTTTAAGATTGTTGCAAAAGCTTTATTATTTGAATTTACTTTAGTCAATGCTCGGGATAAATAGATTCCCTTAGATATTTCCATATCTGGTATGATCCCTTCTTTTATTTCCGGGTTTAGAACGTTGATTTCTATTATTGTTTCCGTACGAGATTTGAGAACAAAATAAGAACCAGTGTTAGGATTAGCGTTTAATCCGATAGGGATTTGAAATGGCAATGAGTTTAGAGATAGAGTTCGTTTTTTTAAAATCGATTTTTGCGTTTTGATCTTGAATAAAATCCAATCCAATTAGACCGTCATAAGGGACGTTTGTAGCCTGATTTAGTATGTGGAATTTTATGTTCAAAATCTGATTGTTAATGTTAAAAGGAATAGTGGTAGTTCCAACTGTTTGAATTGGAGAATTAGGACAGAGTCCATGAAGAGATATTTTTTCTGAAGGAACAAATTTAGTTATCTCAGGATTGAGTTTGTTGGCTTTTATCAATGAGCAGCTTGCACCAGTATCAAGTAAAAATCGGAGTTTTTTGTTTTGATTTTTTGAATATTTACTTTCTAGTTCAATGAAACTTGAGCTATTTTCAGCAAGAAATATTGTTAGTTCTCGTCGTTCTCGAACACCGCTAAAGTTTTGAGATGATCCTCCAGTGAGGTGTTCGTCATTGGAGGAGCGTTGGAGTTTAAAGAATTTGAATGACTTGGTTGATAATTTGGTACATTAGAATTGTATTGAATTGAATTAACGTTCGCGTTCTGCCTTGAATTCGTATGAGGTGAGTCGCGAAAAACTGGATTATGATTTGTCGAATTTCGATAAGGTCTTCTATTAATTTGATTGCTCGAGTTTTGGTTTAAGTTTTGAGAATTAGAGTTTTGATTCCTGTTATTATGTTGACAGTTTGAGTTTTGGAAGTTAGAGTTTGGATTTCTATTATTACATTGATAGTTTGAGTTTTGGGAATTAGAGTTTTGATGAGATTGGTTAGTATGCTGTCGATTAACATGGAAATTCATCGAATTATTAGATCTTCCTGCATTATTATTCTATTGTCTTTTTCTACATTCTTCAATAACATGCCCTTGTTTTTTGCAGTAACGACAAAATATCTGATTATTCGTAAACAAAGTTCTTACGTTTGCATCATGATTTCTTGTTCTGAAACAATTATTTGTAGAATGCGAGTTGTTTTTGCAATTTTTGCAATTTTTGCAAAACTGAGTTGAACTGCGCGACATAGCCACAGCGCGTTCTTCAGAAATAGCTGCACTATACGCAGAATTAATCGAATCAAAATCTTTCCATCTCAACATTCGCGAAATTTCGGGTTTCGAATGATAAATAAATCTATTTAAAGCAATTTCGTTCAACATTTTCAGTTTTCCAGGAATCTCTTCCGGTTCTGTGCAATTTTGTTGAGTAGTAGATATCAATCGCGAGTTAATTGTTTCCAAACGTTGAAAAAAGTCTTTCACTGATTCGTTAGGACTTTGTTTGCAATTATTTAGCTCTTCCATTAATTGAACGTAATGTTTTTTGTCTTGATATAAAGTTTTTAAAGCGTCTTTTAAGGTATCCCAATTATCAAAGTTTTGGGTAGCTAACTGTTCTTTAGCTTTGCCACCGATTCGAGATAAAATAAAATATAAAAGAGGATTTTTCTGATCGTCCTGTGCTAATACATTGGCATTATTACAATTCGCTAAAAATTGCCCTAATTCGAGACGATTGCCATCAAAACTATTAGGTATTAGTTTGCATAAAAAATCTACGGAAAACCTACCATTATTTGGGTTGGAATTTGACGAAGGAAGTTGATTAAAAATGTTTTGAAAAGTTTCTAATAATATTGTTTGTAGGTCTGGGTTTACAGCAGGAGGAGTCATAGTGGCATATAAGTATTAATAAAGGAGTTAGACAAACAAAAGTAACCTCATTAAGAGACAAAAATCACTTACCAAAAAACTTGAAAGCTAGTGGTTACACAACAACTGTGATTCAATCCAATACTGGTCAACGCTGATGATAGCTTTGGCTGACTATGGTATGTCTTGAATCTTTGTATCCAAATCCTGCTGGATCTTGCTAGATACTTCTGAATCGTACCGACCGCGCCAAAATCTGTTGTGATCCTTCAGTGTTTTGCCTTGGTTAAAACTACTTTTGTTTTTGGTTTGAAACTTGTAGCTTTATTAGGTAATGGAATATAGAATGAAATTGAACTACAGCAAAAGTAAGACTTATTTTAGAGAGAGTTTTAACAAAATGTGTTACTACGACTGAAGCTGTCTTAAGACTGTCTTCTTGCTTCACTAGATCTCTTACAAATCGACCTTTACATCCCTTCTAAAACGTTTCTAAAACCTACATAATTACAACTGGAAAACCCTAAATAAATATTGGCAATAAATGACAGTCTGTTCGCCCAAAGAATGACCATTAAGGATATTTGGGAATTTTGGGGTTTATGGTGGACAAATGTTTAATTTATTTACATACAATATCTTTGGGTTCTTTAACAGAAAGTCTGGGTCATATAATAGTATTGCTTTCGGCGACGGCGAGACATTATTTGGGAAAGTATTCGAGGGTCGTAAAAGGTACAATGTCATGATATTATGGAGGAATATGACAATATGCCGGATTTGTAATCATCCAGTACCCCAGCTAGCATCGAGTTTGCTTAGTAAAACCTTCGTTTCCTGGGCTAAGTAAAGTGGAATTCAACCCTTTTTTTATTTGCTTTTTGATATTTTCTTACTTTTAGTTTGTAGGAAATCAACTAATTACTAACTACCGCAAATCTTACACAATAGGTTCTACCTATTCCGACGATATCGCATGATTTTTTATCTTAATATGGTACCTGGACTAATTATTGCGGTTGGTGACGGTGATTGTGTGATATCGTTGCATTGTGTACAATTTTTTCGTCGCGATGATTTCATTAGTAAAAACTTGCACAATAATAGTTATATCTACCATTGTGCAATAAACTGTTTTAACTTGCGGTTCGGCATAATAATAATAGAGCTATCTCATGCCAGTTTAATAGAGAAGTAGTTAGACGTCTAAATATATCACAATTTTGAGTTCGGGTCTACATAATTTGCTTAACTATAGAAAATTACCGTTGGAAAAGCCATTCTTTAGAGCACAACGGAAACCTTAATGAAATAATAACATCCAACTAGACAGTAGAGAGCGATTATCGAGCCATTTCGTACAATAAACTTATAAACCGGCGTTTCAAGAAGGTATATCTTCGTCTTTGAACTCTGCCCTTTTCGTGCAAAAAGGGTACCTACTGCCGCGTCCCTACAATGGTCCAGTATTGATCGTCTGGCTGAAAGCCTATTTGCCGAAAACGTGACGGTTTCTTCCTGTGAGATACGCCGGGCGAGAAAGAACGTGCAAAATTTTGTGTGCCCCTCTCAAAAATGGATACCGAAAAGAAACAAGATGATGAAATAACCCTTAAACCGAAAATGACGTTAATTAATGGAATAACAGTGATTGTGGGTAGTATTATCGGGTCCGGAATTTTTGTTTCACCATCGGGCGTGTTGAAAAATACCGGCAGTGTCAATGCTTCTCTTCTGGTATGGACCATTTCTGGAATTTTTTCGATGGTGAGTAATAGTTAAATAATATTTTGATTCGACCAAATGAGAGTGTCGTTCAGGAAACAAACCTAATTCGGCTTGTGAGATTCAAATTTAATTTAGTTTAGTTTAACTTTTAATTGAATTTTATATTCGGTATATGAACGACAGCATCAAATTATGAAGGTTTAACATCTTTATTTTTAGTTTTCAGTTTACTTCAATTCTTGATTTAGTTTATTCTTCAATTTTCAATGGAACCGTCAGTTCAGTTTCAGATACTATCACCGACTTTGAATTGCTAGTGAGTCTATAGAACTACAGTTAACGGTGTTTTTCCAATTTTCATGGAGCATACTTAAATATTTAAATTTCGGCAGTATTATGTGTAATCAGCAATCATTTGTAAGGGCTTATAAAACAGTACGTATCTAAAAATGTGAAAAAAAAACAGTCTTATGATATTCCTGCATATTTTACTTAAAAAAGGGAACCTATCTTGGTGTAGATACCTACTTCATTCACTAGAGGCCGAACTTTTGAATATTGTAAATTGACCAAATTTGAGATGAGATATAAATTTATTATCGCCAATGATGGAAATAAAGTCCAAATACCTAGGCAACAAATTATTATCACTATTCATGGGTTAGAATTGCCACATTGGGCTCTATACTATTTTCTGATGAAATTGGCATGATTGGACAAAGCAAATAAAAATAGATTTTTCCGCCCTCTTACTTTTGAAAAACTTAGAGTCCTTGTTGAGAAAATCAATAAAAAATAAAACTCTCTAAATAAAAACACGGAATTTATCCGCACTACGTCACAACTTGAATTTTGACAGTGTAGCAATTCCCACAATAAAAAGAAGGAAGAAAATAGGCAACCCATCCCATACCCTATCAAAGTTATTGTTTATTTTATGTGTGTTTTCCTGTTTTTCTATTTATTTAATTTCATATTCATATTTTTGTTACACACAGGACAGATCACAGATGCAAAATTTCTGCTATGATAAATCTCATAGCTTGTTTCTCCAACCTGAATCTGTCCTTGAATTATTCTTTATCATTCCAAATATTCAAATAATATGTTCGATTTCTGAATACCTGTTGGACTCGAGGGTGCGCAACATTAAGTAATTTTTTGAAAATCTTCGTCGTCTGTAATATCTTTCCACTACAGATCCATTTTTGAATAATTATAAATACCGAATATAAACTAAAAAAAAATATAATTTAGAAGCCAAGGTGATCCCTCATCAAAAAACAAACAAAACATAAGAAGAGAGTGCGGTTGGAAAAACCCAAAAAAGAGTTGAACTCCCCTCTTCAACGCCGAAATTCGGACGTTCAAGATCAACCTCAGTTCAAAGTCTAAACCGACCATGTACAACGAGTTTTTTTCCTTCGAAGTGTGAACTTCGATTGAATGTCCGTTGTACAACCGGGCCTTTAGTAATATAACATTTAATTCTAACATGTCGGCAAAAAATTTAAATTTATTTTTTGTAATCAGTTCAATTTTTTTGCTAATGACGCATTACACCTAGAACCGGAACAGCTGTTCGTGCTTGGTCGATGAAGTCTTCTTAAATTTAAATTTGATCATCTCCCTTATATGTCATCGTTTGGCGCGTTTTAAGGATTTTGAATATTTCCACTTTTGAAGTGTTTGAAGAAAATTCATTTAGCTCGTAGGTAGATAATTTTTTTTTGGCGAATATACCTAAAATAGTAGCTCATCTAAGATTTTATGCTTAAATTATTTAAATTTTAGTGAAAGAGCCCATTGACCATTGCAGTAGGTATATATCAACCTCTAATTTTGTTGTCAAATTTAAAGTTTTCTATATGTATTCCGTGCCCCATGTGATGGGGCACGAAAAACTTCCACCTCAGGTGATTTTTTACTCAGGTGATTATATGTAGTATTATGTATCACCTAACACTTGAGAAAACCTGGTCAGGAAGTTTTTCGTGCCCCACCATGTATGCGCCCTCCAAAGCAATTTGTCATATTCATTCCACCTATATCACAGATCACAGTCACCAACCCAGACCATTATCAGCCTTGTAATAGGTATCAAGCTCCCGTTCTGGTGGATGGTCGGTTGACCCTATTCATAAAAAAATTGATTAGTCTTTTTATACTATACAGAAGCTCCCTCTGGATCGATTCTCATCAAAAAAACTCTGAAGACACTTTTGAAGCTCTCAAGGGAAAAATATTAGAACTCAGTTAGCGTAGAAAGCACCAATAATGCAACCAAAGTTTGTCCCAAATAACATCAGGAACTTATTGGGTATTATAAGAGATAGAGATTCAAGATTCAATTAAATTAGGAAAGTTTTAAAAAATGTTTGCTGATTTAGAATCGGCTTCTGAGCTCTAATAAATAATTATTTGTTTTTAAAATAATTGAATAGAACTGAATATTTTTACAGGTGCTTCCGTTAAGTTGCAACAAAATGTTACAACCCGAGTACATTTGAAATAAAATGCTCAAAAACTATACGTACAATCAAAAAATCACTAAAAAGCTTAAATAACCAGGAATTCAAAATTCATTTACATAACAACACCATATAGTTTGTCTCGATTGATCATCCTAGAGAGTCTGAATTGATAGAATGAGTAAATTCGCACATTTGTTATTTAGCTAGATGTACCTATTTATTTAGTTATTTTTTTTAGAATAATTGTGTCCATACTTTTTTTTTCTCAATTTTTCCTTATTATACTTTTTTATCGCGTTCACGAACTTTGTGTCCATGTTTTTCAAAGTGGTTAGCTGGAATAGTTATGCTATGCCACTTATTATAACTTTATCTTATGAACTAATTGATGTAAACATACCTATTAGCAAAGTCTATTAGGTAAATAAACTGATGGAGGAGGGAAACAAATTGTACCTATTCCATTCAAAATTCAAATTTATTGAAAACTCAGCGTAGTAAAGCGCTTTCGGCTTTCGGCATCATCAGTACTAGAGTTTAGAGTTCATTGAACGCCAAGAGTCAGAACATTGACTTCAAAAAATCTTTTGAAAGAACAAATTAATATTCGCAATACACTAATTTGAAATAAAATACCAAATACATATTTGAAATCTTGACTCTCTGGTGGCGTCCTCGAGAGAATTATTTATTTTTTTAACTATACCTAGTTTTAGATTTTTTAAAAAGTTTTATATTTTGTCGTCGTTGTCCTTTTACAATTTTAACTACTGTTTCGGAACCTGACAAATAGTACTGATGATGGCGGAAGCTGAAAACGTTCTACTACACTAAGTTGTCAATAAATTTGAATTTTGCATGAAATACAAATTGTTTCCTTTCTCACTTATTTGAACACATGCAATAAGCAGCCTCCTTGGTATACAGGGTTAGTAAAAACATCCGCAATGCTCAAATATCTTCAAAACCGCTTAAGCCGCGTCCAAACAACAGTGGCGGCTCGTCGTATAAAGCAACTGAGGCCGGGCCTCACATGTGAAAATTACAATAATGATGTTAAATTTTGAAATAATATTCATTAAATATTTAACGTTTTTCAACTATTTTCAATCATTAAAGGAATCAAAACATCGAATTTTCATTAAAATATAATACTATTTCTTGAATTTAGCGCGCGCTTCTACCTATTTATCCTTATAGGCGCTCAAATCGTTGCCGGACAGCATTAAAATAAAATAGCAATCCCAAAAATTGTGGCCTCATGTTCGTCACAGAACGCCGAAGCGATGCCACGCCACTCCCCACCACAACCCTTCAACTGTAGGTGAGACGATAGCGAATTTTCATAGGCATTGAGGCGCACAATTTTGGGCTTGTTAATAAGAAACCTTGCATCTCTTGCTGCTGCGACAAGTATTTAATTGGTTAATTGGCTCATACTTTTTATTTTGGTCTGTTGCGGGTTAAAAAAAAATGTTTTTTGGAATTTATTTTGTTAATTTGAAACTCAATATTTGTATTAAAATAAGAATTATGTACCTACTGCTGTTGTTTTGCAACTGTAAGAAATGAAAATTTTCATTAGAAATATACAAAAAAAATATCCGAGATGTTCTTTTAATGAAATTTTGGGTCAAAATTTGGGCGTAACACTTAAAAATTTTGTTTGGGTTTGTTTGGGTTAACTTGATAGGCCATGGGCCTCACCAGTTTAGATTGTCACGAGCCGCCACTGCCAAACAATTCGGAATCTGACAATTCTAACTTTTGGGCATGCCGAATTAAACAGTGCTATCGGCAATGTTGCCAGATTTCCCAGTTTTGCACTACACGTAGTCTTTTTGTCTCCATCTCCATTTAATCTCCAAATAAATAGGTATAAGTATAGATTTCATTTACTTACCTGCCTGATGTCCGGTACGAATCACAATAATTTATAAAAAAAAAGGAGTGCGGTACGAAACAACTTATCCAGTATCAGAGCTGGGAGTAACGACAAAAAAAAGTTACTTTACTTTGACGAGTTACTGAAAGTAACGCGTTACTTGGTAACTTCGTTACTTTTCAGATTGATTGATAAGTAACTGTAACGACGTTACTTTCCTGAAGTAACGCTGGAAGTAACGCGTTACTAGTTACTATGAAAGTAACTCGTTCTCTCAATTTGTTTATCTTCTTTACAAATAATTGACGAGTGAGGAAAAGGAAAATAAGTAATCCAAAAACTTTGTACGTCAAATAAAATGTTGGTAGTACAGAAAATTTCTTTTGAAAGCTCAAAATAATCGTTTTTGGGCGTACCACGCGCCGCCTCTGCTCTAAGGACACTATATGCAGACACTGGGACACTTCAAAGAGCAGGTTTGTCCAAAATCAAGTGCTCTATTCAGTCGCTTAATCCTTAATCCGTTTGAATTTTGCAAGAATATTCTTCCACATAATCGGATCGGACTCACAAACTAAAAACATATTGGCATTTCGTATAGGTCTTATTTGATTGTTTGGACTGCTGTGTTGGTGAGTCAAATTGAGGAATAACGCAATTTTCGACGTAAATAGTTATTTTTGAAGTAACGCGTTACTTTAAAAGTAACGAACTACTTTTAAAGTAAAGAAGTTACTTTCTAAGTAACGAAGTTACAGTAACGCGTTACTTTCCAATAAGTAACGAAAATAAAGTTATCATTATTCGAAAGTAACTGTAAATTTTGAGTAACGGTTTATTTTTAAGAAAAAGTAACTGTAAAGTAACGCGTTGCTTTTTTCAAGTAACGATCCCAGCTCTGTCCAGTATCCAGTTAAAACTTTTATTGCCTTCGGTACGACTCACACAAAACCTCTTCAAATTACGACGTGAATTCACATCTTCGTGACGACAATATGTCAAATATTTGACGTCAATATATGACATTAATATTATGTAAAATCAGTTTCCTGTAAGAATTAAAAATTGACCCACAAGAGAAGGAAGATCGATTGTCGTAGACAAATGGAAAGTAATAAGTTATTGAGGAATTAATTTCGGACCAAGTACCCAAGAAGTTAGAAAAATTGCCAAAACTACAATACCCAGGCGATGGTAAGAGGAACGAGCCAGCAGTACCTACTGAAATTGTTTTTTTTTCTCTATGCCGATTTCCTAGCAATCATTAAAACTACCAGAGTACCTACTGGAGTTTTGTGGCACGCAATGGGAAAATGAAAATGCCGACTTTTTGTAATACCGCAGAAAAATGTATTTTCAGTCAGAATAAAATCGGTTAGGTACCCCGTTTATCACTCATTTCAAATCAATTTTAGTACCTAGTTAGTATATTCAAAAGAATTCCAAACCTATTATTTCTTTTATATCCCGCAAACGATTTGCTGTTTATGACAGGCCACTTTTGCTGCTCTATAAAACGTAGTCGTGCATTAACATCACAATGGGACTCGTTGATGGGAAAGAGGGCGCACGAATCATTTTTGTGTTTTGATGCTCATGTCCTTGGCCTGTAACCAAGTCAGGCTTATACAAATTTGGGTTCGAGTCACACTGATTTATAGCTTTTAGAAATAAAAAAATTGAATCTTTAGGGAACGTTTCCAGTAATTCTATTTCATCAGTTAACGTTCCGATTATATTTTCAAAAATTAATTAAGTCCGATCCAGTAGCGTGCAATATTTTTCTAAGCCTCCGCTGCAGAAATTGTTCATGGGGCCTCTATTTATTTAACTATTTATTTAAAGTGTCCGAAATATTCAAAACTCACAAAATACTTTGATTTTTATTGACTTGGCGGAGCCCCCACTGGGGTGGTCTGCAGGGATGGGTCTGCAGCTGCACGCCACTGGTCAAATCTACAAATATTGCCTATATATTATTATCAAACACGGAATTATTACAAATTTTCTTTCTATGTTGTTATTGTTGTTTAAATTTGTATACTTTTATAAACATTCAAAAAGTGAAAAATAAATAAACTACCTGTTCATACTTTTCTAGATTGGTGCTTACTGTTATGCCGAGCTAGGAACCATGATCAGAAAAAGTGGAGCCGATTATGCTTACATAATGGAAACTTTTGGGCCTTTCCCGGCATTCGTGAGACTTTGGATTGAATGTATGATCGTCAGACCTTGCTCACAAGCTATTGTAGCCTTAACTTTCAGCCAATATGTAATGAAGCCTATTTTCGTTGATTGCGAACCACCCGATAATGCTGCTCGGTTATTGGCCGCTTGCTGTATTTGTAAGGCTTACCAACATGTGTAATTTATTGATAAGACTCATTTTTTTCAGGCGTTTTAACATTTGTTAACTGTTATGATGTCAAATGGGCGACAAGGGTTCAGGATGTATTTACTTATGCAAAACTACTAGCCCTTTTTATCATTATTGCAGCGGGAATTTATCAGTTATGCCAAGGTGAAAAATTTATAAATACATGCCTGAATAATTTTTAAAATAAGGAAACTTTTTTTTTAAGGTCACTATGCTCATTTTACATTCACGAATACCAAGACTGAAGTCACATCGTTGGCGTTGTCATTTTACTCAGGATTATTTGCGTACAATGGATGGTAAGTATTAAGGTCAATCGAGAGGTCAATCTACCATTGACCGTTTTTAGGTAGGTAGGTAGGTACATCATTGAGAAATTCAACATATTTTCCGTAGCTCTGTTGCATTAATCCCTAAAAAAGAAATATTCCGTCTGAAAAAAAAAAATTAAATGCTTGATGACATCAGTGTCTACACTAATGTTCGCTACATATGGGAAAACTTTTTATTCATAGGTATTGGGAATTTTGTTTATGTGCGATCGATCCTGCATGTCCAGGTTATTGGACATGCAGGACATTATTGGTGTCCATGGGTAAAAATGAATCCTATGTTTAGTTTTTGAGATACAGGGTGTTTGAAAAGTTGAATATCCCATTTTGATTAGCTGCTCACCGAACTAATTTTTGGGGTTTGGACGAAAATTATCAATAGAAAGCAATATTAGGTATTTCATAAACAAAATGCTTGTGAACATAAACTGTAACCGTTAGAGATACGAGGGTGGTTAAATTAGACAAAAGTTGCGCATTTTGAAGCTTAACTAAATGCCGTTCTAAAATTTGAGAAATTCCCAATACTTCCGGAAATATCCGGAAAATTCCGAAAATTGCGATTCTGGTTTTTATTTTTTCTGGGATTTATTTTAAGATATCGAGAAAAATCGAGATAACTTTCTTGAAGCACTTTTGTCTGGACTTTAATGTGCTGATATTATTTTAGAAATTCGATGTTTCGGTTTTCCAAAGTCCCATATCCTAAAAAGTACCTAATTCATGTAGCGAACATTATGGTGGACACTGTATAAATGCTCAAAACTGGCTCGATTCTGCAAATCATATTATAAGACATAGACTAACTCAAATAATTATAATAAAGAGCTAGTTTTGCAAATCATATACCAACTAAAAAATTAGGTACCAGATTGGAGAAGTAGTAGGTATTTAAAGGGCCCTTCTCCGCCCTGTCCTCAAGTACCCAACCATAATATTTCATTTATTTTAAAAAATTCTGTTCATTTAAAATTTAATTTCGCCACTCATGACCTTATTTTGTTCAACATTTTTATGCATGTTTATCAGAAAAACATATTTTAATTTTTTTATTTTTTAGGAATTACTTAAATTTTATTATTGAAGAATTAAAAGATCCAGTGAGGTAATTAAACTTTTTGTTTTTGTTTATTTGGCTTATAGTTAAAGGTATGTAATTTTGTTTTAGAAACCTTCCACTTGCAATTGCAATTTCGTGCACATTAGTGACCGTAGTCTACGTATTGACCAACATAGCGTTTTATACCACTTTGTCTCCTGCAGAAATTCTGGGATCGAATGCAGTAGCTGTCAGCTTCGCTAACAAACTTTTTGGGCCTCTTGCATTATCTATCCCTGTATTTGTTGCTTTATCAACTTTTGGAGCTGTAAATGGAATATTACTGACATCATCAAGGTTTATTTTTGTAAACTTTCAAATTCTATTTTATTGTTTCAAATATGTTTCAGATTGTTCTATGCTGGAGCCTGTAACGGTCAAATGCCGGAAATACTTACAATGATCCAGGCTCAAAGGTTAACACCTGCTCCTTCAGTTTTGGCAATGGTATGATTTTTTTTTTAACTTAATTCGAGTTCAAATAATACTGCTTCGATTCAGCTGTGCTGTTTTCTTAAAAAGGAGAATTTGTTGTTTTTCCTGTTAAAAAGAAACTTTATGAAATTTTATTTCTAATTCATTCTTAATAGTACAGCGGATTAGCTAACACTTTTTGATAAAGGCACCAAATTTGGCACAGAGGTAGACCGATATATGCAGAGCTGGCACGAGTAAAAAAAATATATTTAGATGCGAGTACTCAAAAAATGTATTTGTAAGTATTTTACTCGTAAGTAATTTTATAGAGGCGGTTTACGGTTACAGATAGTAATCGTAAAGGTACGAGTAATTAGATTAGAGATTAGATTGTGTTAGGGGCGTTTGGTGATGGACGTCTCTACACTGCGACCTGAATAGATCTATTGCGCTTCCCCTTTTTCTAGTAGGTTCCCAGGTTGAGACTTTTCGCGAATCCTATGAGTTTCCCGGGATTGGTTCGTTTAACATCCGCAGCAGTCAAATGTGTCTGCTCCAGATGAATGAGCCTTCTGTGACATAACGCTTCGCATTTGCAGAGTATATGTTCGGCAGATTCGGATGCTTCTTTGCAGAAGCGGCAAAGGTCTCATTGAGCTTTACCCATCTTTTTCAGGTGGTAGCCAAGAGGGCAGTGGCCGTTGAGGAGACCCGTTATGAGCCTCAAGTCTGGTTTGCTGAGTTCGAGTAGTTCCCTTGCCTTTGTTAACTTTGATGAATTGCGTCGCCTGTTCTAAGACCTGGAGTATTGTTCCAATGGGAGGCCTGTTGTGCCTCTACCCATTTTTTTGGTTCGGTCCTCACATGGCTTTTCGTCAGGCCAAAGAAGGGTTCTGGACCGAGGAATGGTGACGCGGCGCCTTCTCTTGCAAGCCGGTCCGCTATTTCATTTCCTTCTATATTTTGGTGCCCTGGTGCCCATGCTAGAGTGACTTTATTGTGGTTCGCCAGTTGCCTTAGAAGTTGCTGACAGTCCTATACTAGTCTGGATTTAGTGACGAAGCTGTTAAGAGCCCTAAGTGCTGCCTGACTGTCAGAATTAATGAAGATTCTTGCACCTGGTAAGTCGATTTCAATACACTTTCTGGCGCAGAGTTCTATTGCGTACGTTTCCGCTTGGAATATGGTGGGGTTTTTTCCTAAGGCTGCCTATAGCCTGCAGTTTGGGCCATATACGCCAACTCCGACCCCTTCTTCTGTTTTCGATCCATATGTGTACCAGATGGATGAACCGATTGGGAAATGGGAATTTTTGTACGATCTTGTCACTTTTGCGGCTTTCTGCGGTCACACTAAAAAGGTTATTAAATTCGTATCTGGGTGGCATGATTTCAACCGGTTTTGTTGGTGTACCATGACATTCTTTGATGAAGCTCATATGTCCAACAAGGTCCCCTTCTTTTAGGTTTAGAGACCGTATAACCCTTGAGGCCCCCATGTAGGCCTTCCTCCTCACTGCAATGTGCAGAGGAATCATATCTAACATGACCTCTATAGCAGCGGTTGGACAGGTGTTCATGGCACCTGTTATTCCAAGACATGCATACCTTTGTACAACTGCCAATCGGTTTTGCCCTGTCTGCTGCTTCACTTTTGGCCACCACACCAATGCAGCATATGTGACCAGGGGTCTTATAAACATCGTATATAACCAATAGATCATTTTTGGCTTTAGTCCCCATGTTTTACTGAATAGTCTTCGGCATGACCAGTACGCAACTGTTGCTCGATCGATTATTTTTTTCAAATGTGAGTTCCAGGTGAGCTTTTGATCTAGGACAACGCCCAGATATTTGACTTCACTTGAAAATCCTATTTGTATTCCATCCAGTGTTGGAGCTATTAAGTTGAGCTTCCTTTTCCTTGTGAATGGTACAATTATTGTCTTGCTAGGTTTCATCTTTAGACCCTCTTGCAAACACTAGCTTTTGATGATGTTGAGGGCATTCTGCATGTGTTCACTAATGATCCTATCATTCTTGCCTCTAATGATGACTGCAAGGTCATCAGCATATCCTAGGACCACAAATCCATGGTCGCTTAGTATGTTTAGAAGTTCATCTATTACCATGGACCATAGCAGTGGGGATAGTACAACCCCTTGGGGGCACCCCTTGATTGCTAGGACCGTCGCTGAGTCGCTTCCAAGACTTGCTTTGATTTTCCTATCAATCCATGTGATTGTAGTGTCCTCAAAGCCTTTGTTTTTTGCCACCTTTCTTATGGACTCATAGGAGGTGTGAAATGCACCTTCTATATCAATGAACGCACAGAGAGCGGTTTCTTGGTTGGAGTGTGCCTTTTCAATCCTATTGACAAAGCTGTGCAGGGCTGTCTCCGTTGATTTGCCTGCTTGATAGGCATATTGGTTTTTGTGGAGCGATTTATCGAATTCGCTTCTTACGTGTAAATCAATAATTTTTCCATGGTTTTGAGGAGAAACGAGGTTAGGCTGATGGCTCTGAACGATTTAGGCTCTGCTGTGAGACGTTTCCCAGCCTTTGGAATAAAGACCACATTTACCTCCCGCCAGCTGGTGGGAATGTAACCTAGTAGGTAGCTAGCTTTGAATATTATTGCTAGTGGAGTTATAAGTCCTTCCAAGCCTTGCTGCAGCAGGGCTGGGAAAACTCCGTCTTCTCCTGGTGATTTGTAGGGCTGAAAATTATTCATAGCCCATCTTATTTTGTTTGAGGTCAACATTTTTCTGGCCAGACTTCTTGTTCGGTTAGTTGGGCGTGAGACGCCCTTAGCCACCGGAGCTCTGTTGCCGTTTAGCTCCCACTCTACAGATTCTGGGAAGTGCAATTGTAGGAGCAGTTTCACACTTTCTAATCTACTGTCTGTGTAACTGCCATCCGGCCCTTGCAGCAGTCCAATGCCGTTTGAGTGGACTTTTGCAAGGACTTTCTGGAGTCGCACTGTCTGAGGGATGTCAGTAATCTCCTCACAGAAATTTTTCCGGGATTTCCTTCCGACTTTCTCAATTCCTTGTTGTATTCAATTAGGGCAGTTTTGGATTCGCCTCAGTTGTTGGTGCGTTTTGCCCTATTGAATAACCTTCTTGTTTCAGCTTTTAGGGAACTGAGCGTCCTGTTCCACCAGGGCGTTTTTCTATCTACGACCCTTTGTTTCACAGGACAGCTGTTATTATTAGAGTGTTTATTCTGTTCGTGATATACTCTAACTCACCCTCTGTTTCTATTGCGTTGGGGTAGTCGGTTACTTCTGCTTTTAGTAGGTCTTTGTATAGACTCCAGTCAGATAGTTTTGGGTTTCTATGCTCGAGAAGGCGTGTCTCTGTGACCTCTATATCGAATCATATAAGTTTATGATCCGACATCGAGATTTCGTTGGAGACATGCCAGTTTTTAATTTGGTTGCTTATGTCTGTGCTTGCCAAGGTCGAATCTATCACTTCTTGCCATACACTGTTTGCAAAGGTGGGTTTGTTACCATTATTGATAATGTCTAAGTCATCAGACAACAAATATTCAATAAGGTACTCACCTCTCTTGTTGATGTTTGTGCTGCCCCATATGGTGTGGTGGGAGATGGCATCACAACCGATTATAAGGTGTTTGTTCATCCTTTCGCAGTAGCTGAAGAGTCGTTTAACGTCCTCTGGGGGTGGATTTGTTTCGTCGTCTCCAGGGAAGTAAGCCGAGGCAATTACTACCTCTTGCTTACCCCCTGAAGTTGGTGCCTCTACAGCCGCTGCAGACAAGTCCCTTGTAATGAACTCTGGAAAAGGTACAAAATTGATTTTTTTACTAAGCATTATTGCTGCCCTTGGGTGTTCATGTTGATTATTGTACTTACATGATTTTATTGGAAGTCCTTTTATTCGTGAACCATGGTCCATGGGTCCATGGCTCCTGAATGAGAACTATGTCCAGTTGTTCCCAGTTGAATCTGCAGCTAAGTACGTCTGATGCAGCTTTTGCGTGTTGCAGATTCGCTTGTGACACTTTGCAAGGAGCCATTATGATTGCTCCTTGTTGGGACCTTTATGATACCTGGTTTTGTTGGGCTTTTTACTCATTGCGGTTTTGCCTTTTCCTTTGGGACGTGTCCCAGTCCCCCTGGGGTCTGCCGCTTCCGACACATACGCCCCGACCGCCGCAGCAGCACCAGTTTCAGGCACCTTTTTTGGGACTGCCCTTTGGGGTCCTCCTCTCGGCTTTAGCCGAAGCTGGCCGAATCGGTAAGCCACCTTAAAGTTTTCCCTCTTCAGGTTTTCATAAGACCGCTCTTCCTTAGAAATAGCTGAGCAGAGGTCCCTTGGGTCACTCTGTTGACTCTCTAGTCCTCAACGCTCAGTCCTTTGTTTTGGCCTTCGAGAAGACCAAGTATCTCCTCGTTGGGGCTATTTGCACTATTGGGAAAGTGTCCCACAAAGCCGAGGAATCCTGGATTCCTCCATTGCCCTCAGTGCAGCCCCATCCCAGGGCTTCAAGGTCGCCGCCGTTTGGAATAGCCACTTACTTGTGTCTTCATCCTCACAGGTGATCACCACGAACCCTGGTTTAAAGGTGCAGGATAGGAACTTGGGTTTTACAACTCCATCCTTTTCCTGCAAAATTTTTTGCAAGTACGAGTAAAGAGTACGAATACTTCCACAAGTTTAATCTAATAATAGAGGGTAAGTACAGAAAAGGAATCGAATTAAATCAACAAATGAAATAATGTCTTTATTTACCTCAGTATATTTTATACAACGTCAATCCGAATAGCATATAAACTGTGTAGGCGGAATCTTATGAAATTAAGCATATGCGTGCCACAGCCTAGGAATTCCCAAGAACGAAGACTAGTTTTAATCCCTAGGCTGTTGCACGCATATGCATCATTTCATAAGAAGATGCCGCCTACATAGTTTTTATACTTTTCGGATTGACTTCGTATAAACTATACCACTATACTTCAGGTACAAAACATTGACTAAATTAAGTAGGTATAAATTCTTAAATCAAAAAATCAAAAAGCATTTTGGGGAATACTTGAAAATTAATTATAATAAACTGAAGAACAACAAATAGAGTTCTTTAAAACCGCAAGTTTTTCGAAATTGCCATCGGATAAAGCATGCCTCCTTGGACTATTGATAATCGTGGCAAACGAAAAAAGCCTCTCAACAGGTCAAGGTGCAGATGAGGTGAGTGGAGTATTAAATTTCAAACACAATTTTTTTAATTGTTGGGCGAGTTGTCGGGTAATCCTCGAGCATATTTCAATTCTTTCGCGAATCACTAATATACCTACCTTAAATACTGTAATTCTGCTTGGTTTTTAATTAAATTTGCTCGATTCTTTCTGAGGGAAACTTGTTCCAGGAACGTTCTCGGGTGTTCAGATTCATCAAAATCGAAAAATGTATGTAAGGAGTCACCACAAGCAACTACTGGTAAGATATATTCGTATTCTACAAGTAGAATTTTACGAATACATTTAAATTTACTCGTAAGTACGAGTTATAAGTATACAAATTAAAAATACTTATAAGTAAAAGTTACGAATAGTTTTTTTATCCGTAAATGTAATACGAGTAAAAGTATCCGAGTACTTGGGTATATATATATACTGGATATATGTAATATGAACAAATTTGGATGTGGAGCTATCAATCAACTGCCCCCTGGCGGCCGTGGCGGCGATTTTCCAAAATTGCCGCCACTGGACACCACGAAAGACAACGGAAGTTGGATAAAGTTTGCTGCTGAAGGTTCTAGTGAATTTTTATTTTCGAATTAAAATATGCCAGATAGCTTGTAAGTTATATATAAATATACAGGGTGTCCCACGACGTTTTTCCCAGGTGATAACTTCGGAACGCGTCATCCAATATAATTGAAATTTTGAAAATATGGGTAACTTTTTGTGGCGCTTCTACCATTGTCATCCATTTTCACTACTTTCGCTTCAATTTCGGTCAAGTGTCGTCAACTTTCGAATCTTAAATGTAACTCATGGTATATTATGGCATTTTTCGTTAGAAAATTATATTACAAAATCGGCAATGCCATATTTGTTAAGGCTTTGTTAAAGAAAATGATAAAAAATTATACAGTGGAACATACGATGATGCGTTCCGAAGTTATCATTTGGAAAAACCTCGTGGGACACCCTGTATTTTATGTGGGTTATGTATGTATACAGGGTGTTTCACGAACATCGCAACACAGGCGTTTTAGGGTATTATGAGGACGATTTTAAAAAAAAAGTCTCGGTAACGTCAATTTTCTATTCAAGGGGGAAACTTTTTGACCCCATCGGTATTTCGCTAGGATGCACCAACTGGGTGGGGTTTTAGATAGGGAAGATGGATCGAGTGGTACCTTCTTAAATAGATATTTTGACTGATGATTAGTGATTATTCAAAAATCGCTCGGACATGTCAGTTTTTGTTTGTGGGAAACACATTTTATTGGTAATTGCACCCCCTACCAGTCAACCTCTAAGCGGATGTGACAGGTTCTTGCAAAATTTCAAATAAAGAGGGCGTTCGAGTCATACAATGTACTATTTCCTAAAATAGTAGCAACATAAAATTTCGAGGATATAATCTCAATAAAAATCACTCGACCCCACTTTCTTATATTGAAATGACAGGTAGAGGGTGAAATTGGTGAAAATACCAATAAAATGGTCGTTTTGATTAATTACCTAACTCCTGAGAAAACCTGGGTGGGAAGTCTTTCGTGCCCTACCCTGTATATACCTATTTATTTAATAGTTTAATATTTCATATTTCAAATTATATTTAAATTAAATTTAAATAATATGAAAGTGTTTATTTCCATTATTATACAAAATTTAAAAAATGCACATTTTATTTGTTTACCTTTATGTATTGTAAATGGAAATAAACATTTCATTTCTATTCATTTTTTGGATACAGAAGATACATCGAGTGGTACCTTTTCATTTTTTGTGTGCTTCTGAAAAAATGAAAATTGACGTGTCCGAGGGGAAAGTGTTAATTTGAGAAAAACAGGGTCACAAAATTGTTTCTTATTTATCCCATGGCAACTTTGACAGTTAATATCCTGAAAACTTATCATTCGATTTTCAAAAAAAAAAACGCACTTGTGTCGAGAATCAAAATACCTTTAACAAGGTATTACTCGACCCATCTTTCCTACCTAAAACCCCACCAGGGAGTGCACCCTAGCCAAATACCGATGAGGTCGAAAAATTTTCCCCTTGAATACAAAATTGACGTGTCCAAGCCTTTTTTTTGAATCCACCTTAAAATATACCCTAAAACGCCTCTGTTTCGATGTTCGTGAAACACCTGAGAAAACCTAGGTGGGAAGTTTTTCGCGCCCTACCCTGGATAAATTACAAACTATCTGGCATGTTTTCATTTAAAACAATCAATCAACATTCACTAAAACCTTCAGCAGCAAACTTTATCTAAAGTCCGTTGTCTTTCGAGATGTCCACGGGCAGCCATTTTGGAAAATCGGTGGCTTCACATTCAAATTTGTTCATATTACATCGGTCTACAACTGTGCCAAATTTGGTGCCTTTATCAAAAAGTGCACAAGTTTCGTCGTGATTTTTGTGTTATTATAAGTTTCTGATAAAAATGATGAGTGCAATAGACCAATAATTTGTACGGGTGAACAAGAATCGAGTGGCACTGTCGTGATAATAATTGTTTGCAATGTTAGCCAAGCAAGACATACGTTTTTTGTCACCCGTTACAACGCCATCTGCATATGATGTATCGATTAAAAGTTGAATACCTACGTAGGTGTGTAGGTGAAAATCGCGCTAAGTACTGCTACTGAAAGCATTTTAAAAAAATAATAATTCAAATATGGTTAAAAATTTCTATTTTCTCACCTAATTGTATACTGTATTCATAAGGATCAACTACTTTATCAATTTCAGGCCTTGCTGTCAATGTTCTACCTAACAGTATCAGATATATACGCTTTGATCAATTATGTTGGATTCGCCTGTTGGGTAGGTACCTACTTATCTGTTAAACATTTATCTGGTATTACCAAATTTTCCTTTTCAGTTAAGTATCGGTGCCTCAGTACTTTGTCTCCCATGGTTACGTTGGAAACAACCCAATCTCGAACGACCAATAAAAGTAAACTTATTCTGGCCAATCTCATATATCCTAGGGACTATATTTATCACCGTTGTGCCTATGATAGCTAGCCCTTACGAAACTGGAATGGGAGTACTTATGATACTCTCGTCAGTTCCTGTATATTATTTATTTATAGCGTGGACTAACAAACCTGTTTTTCTACAGAGTGCTTTATGCTCTATGACTGTATTTTTACAAAAAATGCTTGTCGTGGTTGGAAAATCAAAAAAAGCTGCTGTATAATTTCGCCCATAACGATAAAAATTAATTATTTACCTTGTCAAAAAATTGGAGATACCATCCAGTTGTTATTCAAAATTATTATTTGTTTTATTGAATAGTTTAGTTTTATGTTATTGAGAGATTTTTCCTCGTTTTTTGGCAAGGGTTTCCCACAACGCAATGGACAAAGGTAAATGGTTGTGACAAAGAAATTGTTATGATATAAATATTTAAGAAAAAAAAAACACATTGTAAAATAATGTACCTATCTTTACATGTGTATATACCTAACATAAATACCTCCATTTTGTGTAAAAATATTGTTACGTAAAACTGGGATTAGATAGCAACTATAGCTAGTAAATAATGTGTGTGTGGTTTTAGCAAAATTTGATAAAAAGCTTAGAATTTTATAAAATTTTGTATTTGAAAACCAAGCAATTTTCGCTTGTCGATCATTTGATAACTTCTTTAAGTTAACCAAAATCATTTTTGCCTGTTTTTGAATATCTATTTTCTATTTCTACAAGTATTTCAATTTCAAATAAGCTTTATTGCCCAAAAATTTCACAATTTCAGTGTCAAAGCAAAATAGTTGATAGGTACTTAAAATAAATGCAATTTTCAATAATTCAAACTAAACAAACACAAGACAAGAAAAGTTTGACAGGTTAAAACACATTACAACATTTCCATTAACTCACATTATTTATAAAGTATAACACTATAGCTACCACATTCAATCTTCATAAAATTCAGTAAGACCATAATATGCCTTGGCGACCAGATAGTTTTTTACAGACATACAGAAGCTCTCTTTAATGTCTTCAGGAAGATGGTTAAACATTTTTACACTTTCATAAATTATTGAACTTTGCAAGCCAAACTGATTCCGATCGAGAACATTATTCCTCTTCAAAAAATCCACTAGTTGCTCTTTAACAATTTTCTCCATGATCTTCAAGAGAGAACTCAATAGCGAAATAGGTCGATAATGGCGATGGATCTGAACGCCCCCCGCCCCTTTAAAGTTTGGGATTACCACCGCTGATTTTAGACAAGGAGCAAATATTCCAGCGCCCAGAGACAAATTAATACAAGAGGCTAGTGCCTCAAGAGCACTGTCTGGCAAGTTTTTCATGATTTTTGAAGAAATATTAACGCTTCCTGAAGCATTCTGGTTTTTTATACTTCTGCAAGTTTTCCTGATTTTATGTTTGCTTCTTGTTTTGAAACTGAAGTTTTCTATGCAATATAATATTTCTATGCAGATATAATGGCTGTAGATAATGTAACGGGTGAGTGTTAGAATTTAGATCATCTGACAGATTTCCTGCAATTGTTGTGTATTTGAAAGTATTGAGTTTGTCAGGCTCAACATCAAGGAAATGTTTGGATTTTTCTTTTTTTCCTGTAAATTCGATAATCAATTTCCAGTATTCTCTGCTTTTGTAGTGGGTTTTTTTTGCCTCAATAATAACCAGTCTGTACCTATTGAAATACTTATGGAAGCCTGACAGTCGGTGAACTTTCTTAGAGTATGCAGACACCTTAAGTTTTTTGAAGAGACCTTGATACCTTTAGTAATCCATATTTTTTTTTTGTTTTGGCTTTTATTTTTCCCAAAGCAAAGCTCTTATTAAGTAGCTACGTCTCCAAGCAATTTATTTTTTCAAACATTATTTATCCTAAAAATGTTGTTTTTTTCTACAATGGAAAATCAAAAATCTTCATTTTTTGCATTATTGGATTCAGATTCGACATTAATGAATAGGTAAGGGTGGAAAAAATAGGTTCTATTCATTATAGAAAACAAAACTCCCATTCATTATAAAATGATCAAAATTATACTGTTGCTAATTTTCGGTGCTTTTTTAAAATTTGGGATTCACCCAGTAAATTTCTTCAACTACCTATACATATAGACTTTCCAGATATATTCCACAAACCACAAATGAAATTCTGGTTAATCAAATTCTTAAAATACGGTAAATATTTAGGTGCGTTTTACAATCTTGTAGTTTGTTTCAGAATAGGTATGACAATTGAATTGTTGGTACTCCAGAAAAAAGAATCCTAATAATATGTATTGAAATGGGTGGATTTCACAAAATTAGAAAAATATTACTAATCTGATTGATTGAAATAAAACTTCGTTTTTGGTTGAACTTTTTATCAAATTTTGGGTACAACGCAAGAAAAAATGGTTTGGCCTAGAGTGAAGGTAATAAAATCCTATTCCCAGAATAGGCATTCCTGACAATAAAATTTTCCTACGTTAGTCATTTAGTATTATTAGCATTTTTTAGGACACACGGTATATTTAGTAATTTATTGGTTTTTTATAAAATATGAGAGCACAGGAAATTTAAATGTCTATGCTGAAGAAGGCTCGAAAGTGGATGGATGAGGAATATTACACGCTGTTTAGAGAACTTGAAGAAGAAAATCGAAATTTTACAAATATTTTAATTGCCTAAGTAGCTGATTTCAATAATCTACTGTTATTTGGTAGAATTTTTGAAATTTTGATATCAAAAAAAAATTTACACGTTATTTTCGCTAATTAATCTCTACAACAAAAAAATTATTAACTAGTAAGGCAAAACTTATCAGAATTTAATGCGAACATTTCTCCAGCCGATGCCTAGCACCTAGCACCGTAGTGAGAATAGGCCTTACAATACATTTTGCCTCAATCCATCCTAGGCGTTCATATTTTAGAAATAACCTCAAAGACTATTTGATTATTGATCAAGAGTTGATGTACTGATTAGGTATAATTCATAACAGCAATTTGTAATAACTACTTGATTGGTATTTTTGAATTTAACTAAAGCAATTGTCGAAACTCATGAGATATCACCATCACTTGGTAAAAATTTACGTAGAAACAGCCATTCTGCGTAGATATCTATTTTTTATTAGATTCCTTAGTTCTACTTTACAATTTGGTACTTTAGAAGTTTCTTAAAATTTTCTGTTTGCTTTCAAAAACATATCGATGGAAATGAGAATTTTTGCTGATGATGATTGATTAAGTACTTCAGTGTTTTAAGGCATCAGTTCAATAAAAGACTGTGAAAAAATAAACAACAAATGTATTTTATTTATGAAAAAAAAACCCAGTTATACTAAAAACGCAACTTTATTCTTGACAAAAACAGAAAACAAAAATTAATCACCATAACTTATGCATCACTCGATCGTTCATCTGTAGTCTCGACCTGCACCGGCGTAACTTCTTCTATATTTTGCGGAGTTGCCGTAATGACACTGTCTTCTTCATCCACTTGAAGCCCCATGGTAGCTCCTATTTTCGAAGATGCTTTTTTGAAAGTATCACTTAGCTTAGCTTGAACTACATTAATACACATAGACATCAAAGCTAATCCAAAAACTAAATATACAATGGAAACGATCATAAATACTTGATCTCTAGGTACATAATCACCAAAGCCAATTGTTGACATGGAAATAAATACAAAATAAAACGCTTCGAAGAAGTTCCATTTTTCTATGACCATGTACATTACAGCTCCGCAGAAGATGTAAGAAACTAAGATGAAGAGTGCTACAGAAATCGGTAGATTAAATTCATCATCAATTTCAAAATTTGATATTGCTGGAGTTGTAGGAGTATCAGTGGTTTGATGTTGGCTTTCGGCATCTCCAAGATTTGGGGTATTTGGATCAAATAGTGATGGTCTTTTGAAAGTGGCGTAGTCGTAAAGGTTTTGGGCGCCTTTGAAAATATCCTGAAAAAGTAAAATTTTTTAAAATCAAATCCCCTATAACAAATAATTTCACTGTCGGAAGAATGTAAATAGTAGTCAAAGTCTTACTTGGTCTAACCAGTTTATAAATTCTTCTATGACATTTGAAAATTGGTTAAAAGTGTTAGTGTTTTTTCAAGAGATATCGTTGGATAATTAATTTTTAAAAATGCAAATAACATCATTATTGCATTTATCGCAGATTTTCAAGCGGACGTTCAATTAATTTTTTTTTTAAGCTTATCAAACAGTTTATCAAAATTTTGCTGAATGCTTCTAACAGTATTCCATTTTATTTATATTTGCTAATTGAGGTCTTGTTAAAGCTTCGTCTTTTTTTTCAATTTCACTTGCGTTTTTGTTTAGATAGGTACTTAATTTAGATCAATTGATCAATTTCAATTTACTTACATCAACTCCAGAATTTTTCCGTACTTTCCGACAACTTCCTGTATAGTAAAGACGTCTAATGAAAGACCAGACAAATTTTATGCCTCTCGTGAAGAGCTTGCCAAAATCTGTTAGAGCTATCAGAAATAATGGAATTCCTATGAGAGCGTATACGATGGTAAGGGCTCGGCCTGTGTTAGTTTTGGGAAACATATGTCCATAACCTAGAATAATATTAATTAGGTTCAATAAACATAATTAAAAACTTATTTGGGGGCAATTTTTTCATTTTTTCGTGGGGTTGAGAACAGTGTAGCAAGAAATATGTTATTTCTAGTTTAACTCACGAAGTGAATCACACACTTAAGTTGGTATTCCTATCATTTAGGTATAGTGGAATACTGGTCAAAGAAAAATAATTACATAAAAGTGCAATAAAATTATACGAACAGCCAAGCGATAAGCAATAAGGTGGGCATATAGTATTTTATGGCGGGAAGCAGGAAGAGGAGAAAACAAAGAGTCCAATTCAGTTAGTAGATTCTCATCCGGTATAATTGGTAATTTAAAATTTCTAGGATCAGCCTGTTTGTTGACAACGGAAGGAAGAAAATGTAGAATCTGGTCTACTATGATGTCCAAATATTTAATATGTTCACTCCAACTAGAACAAAAAGCGAGAGGGTAGAGCCTCAAGGGACCCCTGCCTGCATATTTATGATTTCTAGAAGCTTATAATTATTCATCTAAACTCTAAAGGAACAATTTTTATGGAAATAAGAGAATGCTATTTCAAAATAGGACAGGGAGGTTCTGAATATTTCATAAAGTTTAGTTTAAAGAGTTTAGTGATGAGGCTTGCATGCCAAGCATGTTCAAATGTCTCGACGCACAACTTCATTTAATCTGGAGACTTTTATGGTTGTAAGGAATAGGTTTGCAATTGAATGTGTGGCGGAAGAAGGTTTCCAGAAAGGTAAGAAGAACTGTTGATGTCATATGAAACGTTTTACAGAAAAAATAATGTGTGTCTAGGTTTGATTTGGTTTAGGGGGCAAAAAAATGAACTTTCGATTTTCCTTAGCATACGAACACAATTCGGGAGCATTTAATGTACAGGGTGACTCAGAGTAAATTTCTCTTTTCCAATGCGCCCAGTACAGGGTCTTTGATTATATTTATTTTAAGCCTTTAATAAAAAAAATTATATGCAAAACTTGAAAGTTATTATTTTTAACTTTATCCGAAGAAACAAAATCGCATCGGAAAATGGGAAAACGTGGACAACTTCTTCAATGAAAATGTATACCTATTATGCGATAAAATGAAAAATCTTTTTTTCTCCAATTCCAAATATACAGGGTCGCCCATCGGAAACAGTCCAGCATGGTTTACGGCTTTGTACGAAAAACTTTTAAAAAAATCCTCGGACCCGTAAACTTTTGTTTTCAGGGGGATACGTTTCACTATGAATTTCATCTCTGTAACCTCAACCCCTTGAGGGGGCGGCTACTACCCTTATTTTTTCAAATGGGAAGGGGTATATTGTGATACATCTTTTTGAAGGGTATGAAATTCTCTTTGAAATGCCGTTTTGTTTTTCGAATTTGAGCCACGCGATGTCGAGAAATTGCGTTTAAAAGCATTAGAAGATCAGATCATAGAAGATTTACGGAACCGCATTACTAATGAATGCCAACAAATTACACCAGATGTTCTTCACAATGTCCGAGAACGCTTTGAACAGTTGTTGTACTATTGTATGGAGGTGAATAGCGGACATTTTCAACATTTAATAAGATAACAGGTAGGTACTTTTTCAATAAAATTACATTTTTTATAACGCAATTTCTCGACGGCGCGTAGCTCATAGTTAATAAACGAAGCGGCACTTCAAAGAGAATTTAATGCCCTTTGAAAAGATGTATCACAACGTACTCCTTTCCATTTAAAAAAATAAGGGCAGTAGCCGCCTCCGCGTGTGAGTGGTTTTTGTTTAGATTATTGCAGGTAACACAGGAGAAACATATGTAAATTTAATTAACTCCACTTTCTCGTGCGTCGCTTAAGCTTTCGTGACGTCATAGGGTGAGATGCGGTACCTTCATAGAGCCATATCTGCGGTATTATTTGTCATAGAGGGGTGCGGATTTCACTGTTATTCTTAGATTTTTTTTCTCTTTTTTTTGAGATGAAGTTGTTTTTTTGGCGCACATCCCCTTTAAGTAGATAAATTTTGATCGTATTCAGTGTAGGGCCTTTGTTTACAGTAACATTAAATATCAGCAATGGTTTATTCTACTGTCGAGAAGGTTGAAATAATTGAATTTTTTTTTGGACATAACTCATGTGCCAATAGAACAGCAGAGTTATTTAATGTTCATCATCCTGATAAACATGTCAATAGAAAGTACGTACCTACTAGAATTAGTAGCAAAATTTAGAGAATATGGGAAGTGTTCTTGGAAAGAAGCATGTCCGACCTGCTGGAGTTAACAATGAAGTTATGCAAGTAGCAGTCCTGGGTCAACTCCATGCCAGACCAGGAATGAGTGTCAGACAATTGGCAGCAGGCACAGGACTAAGTAAAAGTAGTGTTCACAGAATTTTAAAGTTACACAAATTTTATCCTTACAAACTTCACCTGGCGCAAGAATTAAACGAAGATGATTACGATAGACGAATACAATTCTGTCAAGAACTAAGCGAAATGCTTATAGCTAATCCTCTTCTTCTTTACAACATTTGCTTTTCGGATGAGTGTACATTTTTCCTCAACGGAACCGTGAATCGTCACAACTGTCGCTACTGGGCTGATGAAAATCCTAAAAACTTGCGTGAGGTTCATACTCAGTACCATGAAAAATTAAATGTGTGGGCTGGAATCTTTGGTGACTCCCTTGTTGGTACGTTTTTTCTAAATGGAAATTTAGATTGAGAAATGTGTCAGACTCTTTTGGAAGACGCCATAATTGCTAGAATAACAGAGACAATCGAGAATGGAAATCACTATGACGAAAATCAAGTCGTTTTTCAACAAGATGGAGATCCTCCGCATTATGCTGCACTGGTACGGCATTATCTTGATGAGATATTTCCCAGTCGCTGGATTGGAAGGAGAGGACCCTTTCTTGAATGGCCAGCTAGATCACCCGATGTATTACCCCTTGACTTTTTTTTATGGGGGAATCTGAAAACAAAAATGTATGCCACTCAACCGGAGACACTAGAAGTATTACGTCAACGAATTGTAGATAAGTGCGCGCTGATAACACCTGAAATATTACAAAATGTTCGAGATCGCTTTGAACAGAAGCTGTATTCTTGCATGGCTGCAGACGGTGCTCAGTTTGAACATTTAGTAAATTAGTTGTTCTAGAGTATTAATTTAGTAACAATAGAGCTCCACATTAGTAAAAACTTGTTTACATTTTTTCTGTTATCTTCGATGTTATTTTGGTTATTAGAGGTCTTTAATAGAATTTTTTTAGAGAAGTTTTATATTTTCATAATTCTCCACGAAAATTTCAAAGATATTCCTGAAATGAGACAGCGTTGAAAAGAAGCAGTATTAAGCTTACAAATGAGGTGCCTTTAATCCCTTCATTCCATTTGAGACTTTAAGGGTGGATGTCACCGCCGCGTGTGGTTGAAAAATATTCGCAGATTAATTCCCAGTCGAACACAAATTTCACGTGTTAGCCGTTTTTTTGCTTTTAAAACGAGAAATGCCTTTAAATTGCCTCGTTTCGTTTTGGGTGGGACGCGTCATTGTCAAATTTTTTGACATAAATGTCAATAAATGTGGTACCGTTGAAAAGATAATTTAAAGAGCTTTCATTTAAGGGGTCAGTTGACCCACTTTCCCTATTTAATTTTTAGAGGTTGAACGCGCCCCCGCTAAGGGATGAGAGGTAGGTCATTAAAGATGAATTTGAAAGTTGTCCCCTTTCATGCAAAAATCGACGTGTCCGAGTGTTTTTCATTTAAATAATTCTAAATATGCAAAAACTCCTCTGTTTCGTTTTAGCTGGGACACCCTGTATATTGATCACATTTTGAATATAAAATTTTGGTATATAAAATTTTTTCTATCTAAAATAGTACCTAAAGCCTGTAGGTATGGTTTAAATATAATTAAAGACACTGTACATCCAACTTAATATTTGTGGGGGGGTTAGCGCTGGATATATATGGATTTTTTGTTAAATATAATTTCATTCCGGTTGCAAGTGATGATAACCACAGCCAAGTGCCTGGCCTGGACAAGTAATGGGTTACTTAGAGCCTTAGAGTAAATTTCCCTTTTCGAACGCGCCCTGTACACTGTATGTACATCCAACTTAATATTTGTGGAGAGGTCAGCGCTGGCAATTTACGGCCCCTGCTTGCCTGCGGATTATCAGTAAACATGGAGCAGTGGTCGAACGAGCAACGCGCGTTAATGGTCAAGGCGTTTTTTAAATCGAACGACTCGCGGCACGTCGACGTTTTTGTAATCATTACAATATTCGGCTTATACGTGATGCTCCGTCAAAAAATTTATTGAAATCGTGGGTCCAAAGACTTAGAAAAAATAGTAGAGTGGCAAATCAGAAGCGTCCCGGCTACGTTTTCGAACTGAAAGCGGACCATCTCTATGATCTCTGGCGTTCTGATGAACTTCTGTTGGCCGGGGCGCTTCTGATTTGCCACTGTACCACTTTGTCTGAATCTTTGAACCCACGATTTCAATAAATTTTTTGAAAGAGCATCACGTATACTCCGAAGATAGTAACGGTTACCAAAACATCTCCGTGCCTCGACATAGTAATTGTTCGATTTGAAAAATGCCTGAACCATAAACGCACGTTGCTCGTTCGACCACTGCTCCATGTTCACTAATAATCTGCAGGCAAGCCGGGGCCGTAAATTGCCAGCGGTGACCTCTCCACAAATATAGTATATACGCGTTCGAAAAGGGAAATTTACTCTAAGGCTCTAAGTAACCCGGTACTTGTCCAGGCCAGGCACTTGGCTGTGGTTATCATCACTTGCAACCGGAATGAAATTATATTTACCAACAAATCCATATATCTTTACAGAAGAGGCAATACATTAGAAATTTTTATGGACTATACAGGGATTCAGAGATTCAGAGAAAGATCTCCAGGTGCGAAAAGTGCAGCTTCTCACTTGTACCTAATATATCTCAAGTGATCTTACTCACCAATAGTTGTCACTATCGTCAAGCAATAAATAATCCCATTTAAAAAGCTCCAGGACCTCATCCCGCTATAATCTGTCATACCCGCCTCGTGAGCGTTATGTAACTCTTCCTCAAACCCTCTTAATCTACTACGAGCTAACGATTTCCAATCGTCCTCCCTTAAATTATGACTTTTCGACCATAAAAGATCGATAAAATCTCTTTTCACCCGTTTTACGCCGCATTTGTAGTACGTTTCGAAGGTACCTTCAGTAAACTTAAACATAATTCCTCCTAGGCCACAGAAGATCATAATAAGGAAAAGTTCCAAGCAGCATTTTCGGAATGTTTGTTTCAACTTAGTGTAATCTCGATGGAATTGCTGTTTGTGGATTTGAAAATTTCGCGGAATATCCTTAATTGAAGCTACTTTTAAGGAAACAATGTATCTCGGTGTTTTTCCTACGCCGCCTACACGCCCAATGGATTTTCTTTGGACCACATTCGAAGTTTTTGGATCCAAGACTTCGATTATTTTAGGAGTGGTAGCTCGTTTAGTACATCTTCTGTTGCGTAGTATTTGTGGTGGACTGACACTTCTAAACGAACCATTAACACTAACAGGAAAATTCGAATCAGAATATTTCCTTCTCAAAGGATACTCAATTTTTTGCACTTTTTCCAAACTCTCTTGCAACTCTTCAACAAATTTCTGTGGTGCTGACTGGCTTCTTTTAGACAATTGTTGTTCGTATTTTCTAAACCTTTCTCGGCCTCTTTGAGCGGCTGCTGTTAGTGATTTTTTTGTTTTGTTATACAATGTCACAAGTTCTTGTTGGGCTATTTCAGAAATGCTTCCTTTTTTAGCTTGATCTTTTCGAAAACTTCCTTGACGGCTGATATTCTGAAAGGAATTTTTGATAATTTATTTCAATTTTTAACTATCGATAGAATCAATAATAAATAACATGGGTTTTTAGAGATTACTTCATATCTTTATGCCATCGGGTATTATTTTACATAGCTTTAAATTTAGCAGGAATTTTTATAGCAGATTGATTAATGCATTTTTTTGCTTAATATTAGTACCGAAAGAGGCGTACAGACATGCAACAGAATACCGTAACGTAACTTCGCCGCGTATCAAGCACGCAACATTTTAGTTTGGTACAACCATCGAGCTTTGGTAGGTACAACAGAACATCGCCGCGCAAGATCAGCGCGATACACTTAGGCGTCCCAGCTTTTTTGCTCCGTTTTTGTTTCGTATTCCACAAAATTTTCTTCCCTCTATATATTTCGATAAAATTGAGTAAAACTTTATCAGTCCACTCCATTTTAATCGACCAAATACTGAACACTGAACTGAACTGAAATCGTGGTACCGGCAAAAGTAAAACGACGCTACGGATCGCACACACGTCCAGACTAGCAAATTTATATTGTAACGTCGCCGCGAACATTTCATGATGCGGCGACGGAAGACCGACAACCGGTGGGACGCTGCGATGTTACTTACGGTGTTATGGGTGTTAACGATGTTACGGAGTACAGTCCAGACTTACGCGGTGAAGTTACGTTACGGTGCTTCGCATTTGACATATCCTGATTTCAATCATTTGAAAATTTCAATCATTTTCCAAATTTGACATTATAATAACAAAACACCATTTTTTTACTATCGGTTTAAAACAATTGGAAGCTAGACCCGATTCCTTCTAGGACGGTACAAAAGAAAAATATTCATGAATATAAGAGGCAAACGCATAAAGATGACATGAGTCAAGGCTTCTGACCGATCAACCCGAAAGACTAAAGAACGAAGGAGCTCAAGCACGATTGAGGCCAATGAATACTTTTTATAGCGTGCTACAAAAAAAAAACACCGAACCAGAGCAAAAAAAAATTAATCTATCAAAAAATGTAAAATTGGTAAAATCAAAAACACCACAACTAATATCGAAGTCAGCAATAAAAAGGGTTTTAACTTGTTGAGCGGGAAAGTTTTGGAATGAATACCTACCCATCTAATGACCATAGCACAACTTTACAAAGCTATTTTAAGTATTAGCTACTTATTATCATAAGTTATGGAAGGTTGTCCAGGTAATACAAATACTAAAGCCTGAAAACATCATCATCCTAAAGATCAATTAGCCTTTATAACTTCCCTACGGGTTCTTTCAAAAATCCTGGAGACTGAAACTAGTTCAGTTAGCAAAAAACACTAGGTTCAATTAGGTACTAATTATGATTTTGGCTTTACAAAATAATGTGGTAGCTTCGAATGAGTACATATAATCGTACGAAGAACAGTGTCAAAAGAAAGCATCAAAAATATGAAGTCAGAAAACAGCTTCAGGCTTAGTTCGTGCCGATACTGACTCAAACCCTTGAGAAACGTTCAAAAAGACTGCTTCTAACTTGAACACGCCATCATCTTATATAGGCCGATCGGCCCGCTCCAAGATGTTCGAAAAATTACTCCCGGACGACTGAAACTGATACCACAAGCAACAAATTTGGCTTCGGAATTCAACACGCCACCGACTTTAGAACAAGGAAATGTATTCGTGTCTAGAAAAGTTCCACCAAAAAATATAAGTTTTCTGGATCAAAAGCTGTTTTTAGCTTTGTTCATAAGAATATCAACCTAATAAATCAAAACATGTTCCTATGGGCCTGTTTTTAGCTCTTATATGGCGAAAGGGCGCATTTCTGATTTTGTAATTCGAATTGATGCGAACCAAAACTCGCAGAAAAGTAATAAACACATGTCGGTGGCATGAACCTAACCAGTGATGGAAAACTATTCTTTCTGGTTTAAGATATGGACTTATTTCCAATGTAGAGCCAACCTCCACACAGACGCACTATTTTCTTAGAAAGAAAAAACACTTCCAATAAAAAATCTCCAATTTTACATTTTCAATTAAACACAGAACCTATCATGATGTCTTTCACCAGTAGGAAGGTATCTAGTTTGAAACACTTTTTAACAAAATGCAAGCTTTGACTTAAGAAAAAACTCCCATATCCAGATTCTAAAATGCAAATATACGCAAAATGCCTCTATGTACAAATAATTATCAAATTGACGTTCTTATTAATAAATCTTATCACGAAGTTATTATATTTTCCAAAATGTAAGATGCCTACACATTATTTTACCTCACTTGTGCTACTTGATGACCATTCCTTTCCATTAACATGAGGACTTTTCTCATCTTTAACTATTTCGCTATCAGCCACAGTCATTTCATCACCTGAAATATCTCCAAGATATCTGATAGGAGTAGATTCTCTTTTAGCCCCTCCATGTTGAATTCGCCTTTTTTGTCTTTGTTTTTTTCGTACTACTACTGGAGGTGGAACATCTACAACTGACGCTTTACTTTCCTGACCTTCCTTTTCGTCATCAGCTGGCAGCCTATCACTATTATTTATTTCAATGGCTTCTTGCAGATCATCTACAGCCTTTGGGGCTGAATCTTCACCAACAACTTTTGGAACATCGTTGTTATTATTATTAATCACATTTTCCTCACTGGTTTCATCGGGTTTTACATTTTGACACGCTTTTTCGGATTCCATTGCTTAATAACTAAATATTATCGCGGGTTTTCGGCTGCTGACGATATTTTTAGATGTTAAAAATAAGCGCGAAGCTACGCGAGGCGTGTAGGACGAGACGAAATTTTCGGGTGTCGCTATTTGAACGGTAATTGACCGAGGTCAATTTTTGGATTTTGGTATATGGTGTAGATTTCGAGCGAGTTATGTCGGCCTTTATTTTTTCGAGATCTGTAAGAGTTAATGGAGAAAATACCGCTCGATGATTTGTTGTGGCCTAATTTTGAAACCACAATGGACATTTAACAATTTGTATGCTTCCGCACCACTTATCACACTTCTGACCTAAGAAAGTTTAATGCTGCATAGGAAGTTTTTGGAACGGCTTGTCTTGCTTTGTGGTGACCACCAGGATCATATGTGATTTAATAACGTGCGACTTGTTTCCATGTCAATAGCCCCGAAACATCAACGGTTGAAGGAGGAAGGAGGAAGGGTCCATTTTAAGAAGAAAATTTCATATGAACGTATGTCCTAAACGTCTTAACTTAACTAAGATACAGAGTGATAAAAATTTCAAAAATGAATCATTTATTAATAATATCTGGAACACCACTTAAGATATTTTATTAAAATTTGACATACATGTAGTATGTATCAAGAGGCATTTTTTAAGGTACCACATTTTCTTTAATTTCCACCAGTGGTGCTCGTACCGAATTTCACCTGCCTATTTTGGCAGACATTGACGGTACGCCACTGATTTCTCTTAATATAAAAATTATTCTTGAAGTCCCCAATCATTTCCAAGCAAAATTGATCACTTAATTTTTTTAAATCCGATGCACGGGTTGCACTTAAAAAAAATAAAAACCCTTTCTCTGCATGATCATAACAATATTGCAACTTTGCTTATGATAAGGAATTTCAAAAATATTTTTTTTTAGATAAGTCAGTGGCTTACCATCAATGTCTGCTAAAATAGACAGGTCAAATTGCGTACGAGCGCCACTGGTGAAAATTAAAAAAAAAAAGTGGTACATTAAAAAATGCCTCTTGATACATAAAGTCCATCGATTTTAATCTGATACTCCAAAGGAATGTTAGCTGGTGGCTCCCTACGTTAGTACGCTAATAGTTCAGACGTCACACCTGTTTTTGCGTGGTTTTTGACATATGCTTCACCCCCTCGCTCCTCATACGGAAAGTGTCAGATTAAAAAAGACGGACAAAAGTAGGTACATTAATGCCATATTTCTTTGAAATATTTATCACCCTATAACTCAAAAGTTAAGACAAAGACGTTCAGGACATTAGATTGGATTAGATTAGATTGTGTTAGGGGCGCTTAGGTGATGGACCTCTCTACACTGCGACCTGAATAGATCTATTGTGCTTTCCCTTTTTCTCGTAGGTTCTCAGGTTGAGACTTTTCGCGAATCTCATGGTTTTCCCGGGATTGGTTCGTTTAACATTCGTAGCAGTCAAATGTGTCTGCTCCAGATGAATGAGTCTTCTGTGACATAACGCTTCGCATTTGCAGAGTATATGTTCAGCAGATTCGGATGCTTCTTTGCAGAAGCGGCAAAGGTCTGGTTCAGCTTTACCCATCTTTTTCAGGTGGTATCCAAGAGGGCAATGGCCGGTGAGGAGACCCGTTATGAGCCTCAAGTCTGGTTTGCTGAGTTCGAGTAGCTCCTTTGCCTTTGTTGACTTTGGCGAGATGAATTGCTTCGCCTGTCTAAGTCCAGGAGTATGGTTCCAATGGGAGGCCTGTTGTGCATCTACCCATTTTTTGAGTTCGGTCCTTACATGGCTTTTCGTCAGGCCAAAGAAGGGTTCCGGGCCGAGGAATGGTGACGCGGCGCCTTCTCTTGCAAGCCGGTCCGCTATTTCATTTCCTTCTATATTTTGGTGCCCTGGAACCCATTCTAGTGACTCTATTGTGGTTCGCCAGTTGCTTTAGAAGTTGCTGACAGTTCCATACTATCCTGGATTTAGTGAGAAAGCTGTTGAGAGCCTTAAGTGCTGCCTGACTGTCAGAATTGATGAAGATTCTTGCACCTTGTAGGTCTATTTCAAGACACTTTCTGGCGCAGAGCTCTATTGCGTATGTTTCCGCTTGGAATATGGTGGGCTTTTTTTCCTAAGGCTACCGATAGCCTGCAGTTTGGGCCATATACGCCCACTCCGACTCCTTCTATTTTCGATCCATCTGTGTACCAAATGGATGAACCGTTTGGGAATTTATGTACGATCTTGTCACTTTTGCGGCCTTCTACGGTCACACTAAGAAGGTGATTAAATTCGTATCTGAGTGGCATGATGTCAACCGTGTTGGTGTACTTTGGCATTCTTTAATGATGCTCATGTGTCCAACAAGGTCTCCTTCTTTTAGGTTTAGAAACCGTATAACCCTTGAAGCCCCCATGTAGGCTTCCCTCCTCACTGCAATGAGCAGAGGGATATCTAACATGGCCTCTATGGCAGCGGTTGGACAGGTGTGGTGTTCATCTCACCTGTTATTCCAAGATATGCATACCTTTGTACAACCTGCTGCTTCACTTTTGGCCACCACACCAATGCAGCATATGTGACCAGGGCTCTTATAATCATCGTATATAACCAATAGATCATTTTTGGCTTTAAGCCCCATGTTTTACTGAAAAGTCTCCGGCATGTCCAGTAAGCAACTGTTGCTCGATCGATTATTCTTGCAGGTGAGCTTTTGATCTAGGACAACGCCCAGATATTTGAATTCACTTGAAAAGCCTATTTGTATTCCATCCAGTGTTGGAGCTATTAAGTTGAGCTTCATTTTCCTTGTGAATGGTACAATTATTATCTTGCTAGGATTCACCTTTAGACCCTCTTGCAAGCACCAGCTTTTGATGATCTTGAGGGCATTCTACATGAGTTCACTAATGATTCTATCATCCTTGCGTCCAATGATGACTGCAAGGTCATCAGCATTTCCTAGGACCACAAATCCATGGTCGCTTAGTATGTTTAGAAATTCATCTATTACTATGGACCATAGCAGTGGGAACGTTCAGGACATACGTTCATATGAAGTTTTCTTCTTAAAATAGAACCTCCTTTATTATTAACATTCAATTAAAAAACACCCTTTATATTGTATATTCATCTAAAGCCACATCAAACGCGACGCAAGTACTAAAATTCAACCTTAACCTAGCCAGGACTGTATAACAATAAAAATAATTTCACATCAAAAACTATAAAAGCTATATAGGCCGTAAATTAAATTTGTCGTCAAGTGTGAAACATCTGCCAGGAATTTTATTGTCGTTTTTGTTTGCCAATTTTGTTTTATATTCATTTAATAGCTATTATTTGTTAAACAGTTAATTTCAACAGTTGACTATTGAAAAGACATGTAATAATTAGAGAGATTGCTCTGAGCCCCTTATTTTGCCAATTCGTAATGGATTTTGCGCAGTAGGTATTGAAATTATTGTCCCTCAACTTCAACTTTACTATAATAGCCTCTATATGGTTACATCGCGGCGCAAACAAAAATTTCTTCCATGTGATGCATTTTGTTTCTGAGCATACTTACCTCTGGAATAATTTAGATAGAAAATCAAGTTCTTACCTATAGTAGTATAAATAGTGGCACAAAATACCACCGAGTTCCATATCGTCCAAACTTTAGGTCCACTATTAGCTTTAAGAAATGCTTCAATTCTTTGGTCTTCGATAACTTGCCCTACGTAACTGTCTATTTTATCAGTGGCCTGCTTTGCCCATTGTTCCGTTTGGTTATCGTAAGGCATTGACCGTGATAAATTTGTTAATTCTCCTATTAGTGTTTGTCTTAACGCCCAGATATCGAGTCGTAGCACGACGCTTCCTTCTAAGGGCTCTGAAAGGGGAAAACAATTAAAGGAAGAAGAAATATTAATATTTCGGAAGCAAAGTATGTACTTCATTTCCTGCAAAGAGGGGCTGAACTGCAGTGGCGCAGCCAGAGGTATCAGGGGGCCCGGGTCCCCGGTCCCCCCCTTCGCTTCAGAGAAAAATAATGAAGGAGACAAAAACTGTAAACTGCTCATATTATAAAAAGCTTAGGGGGCGTAAACCAAAGATACGTTTTTGGTTTATAATATGTAAAAAAAATCCAAGAACAACATCGAAAACCTTGCCTCTCTTCCGGATTTTTATCAAAAGATATCAGTCTTTAGAGTTTGTAGCAATACGTAGACGTGCATGACCATGACGTCACAACCGCTTGGAGCCCAACGGATTCTGCTTTTGTGTACTTTGGTTCAAAACCAAAAACCATGTTTCACCTATTCAAGTCATGCCGGTATTTAAGTGAGAGTCGCAGGATTTTATTAGAGTCTGAGTCTACGGTATCCCAACGGTTGTGACGTCACGTTTCCACGGTTGTTTTGCAAGTACCTATCTCGAAAACCGTTAGGCATAAAATGTTGCAGCTTGAAATATTATTCTTAGAATTTGTTATTCAAAAATATTGATTTTTGGTTTACACCCCCTTCAAAGGATAGTGGGTCTGTGTATATTCCTATATTTTTTCCTGCATGGCCCCCCTCAAACAAAATGTCTGGCTGCGCCACTGACTTCACTTCCGAAATTACAAAACATTGGTTTTTGCGATGGCGGGTTGGCAATCAAAGCTGATACCTACCATATTATGATTAATACGTTGACTGTCCTATGAGTATAATCAAAAAGATGTTTTTCCCACACCTCCATGAGACAAATGTAATTTATTTGCATACCGCGGTTTACATAATTTGTTATTTTTAAACGCTTCGATCATGTACTCTAGACATTTCCTCTCAACTGAGCGTCTAAATAAACTTTATTTACTAAAATGTAAAGTGTTTCCAATTTTCTCTGACGAAATTATATTGAATTTGACTCATTGGAATCTGAGAATTTTGGGCAAACACTAATTTACGTTAAAAGCAAAAACAGTTCCGTCATTGGAGGACCAACATTTTTCTTTGTGTGGACAGCCAGCGTGTTTAACACTTGTCAAATAAATGAAGCTAACTCGTAAAATAAATAAATTTGAGGCCGATGCAATGATGCATAATAATTATTAAATTTTGAATTATGCACTTTAATTTTGAGTCATTATAATTTTCAATTTCGGTAATTCTGTTTCCAATTTAGGTAGGTACAGAAGATAAATGTATAGGCATGGGACTATCAGTATTTTCCAACCCCTTTAGCAAACCAACAAAATAGTTGAGAACTATGATCCAGTAATATTCAAAGAGCCGACAAGATGCAAATTAGAGATTGATCAGAAAAATATTGAGCAAGTGAATCACTTTAAATATTTAGGAACTGAAATAACAAGCTTGTAAATCTACAAGGAATTAGAGATTGTACAAAATAGGGTACGATCTCCTTAAGCTCCGTTTCATGATTAACCTTAGTATTTATGACGCTGAGATGCCAGAAGGGCGTCCGCTGGCTAGGTAGCGGTGGAGAGGGTTGCTAGGGGGTTGCAAAGTCGAGAAAAAAAAACAAAATTTGGAACGATTTCCTAAAGCACGAAACTTTCACGAGAAGAAGGTTATGTTTCATAAAGTACCCTAGACATGGTCCGCTGGGTGGGCGGTGGTGGAATCAGGGTCCGCTGATGGCCCAAAAGAGGCCTAAAACCGTAATTATGAAAACCATTTCCTGAAGCTTGAAATTTTGATGAGATCTACTGTTTTTATTGAGATTTAAGAAAACAATTGTCCGCTGCCTGTATGTCGGTGGAAAAGCCGTCCGCTGGTGGGATCAAGCAAGATAAAGGTACCGAGCATAAACGCGTTAGGAGGCACCAGTGGACGATTTTTCCACCGACATAGAGGCAGCGGACGATTGTTTTCGTTTATTTCACTATGAATAGGCTCAAATTTCATGAAATCTTGATTGGTGCAAACCGCATTTTAATATCTTCAACCGTTTATAGCCCCTAGAGGGCGATTCTCGATTTTCAGCAATATTCTGAAAACTCCATAACTTTTTTGTTTATGGAAATAATTGAAATCTGTAAAAACTTTCTGGAGGCACTTTTTAAGGCAGAATTCAGTGACGTTCTCAGATTTTTTCTATTTGACCCCTATTTTGAGATATTGACCAAAGTCCGATTTTTTCAATAGGATACCCTATATATTAATAGCTCATTGAAAAGCTATGCTTTTTCTGATTTCAATGATTTAAAGCTCGATAGGTTTATCTCTGAAAATTTTAGAGAAAAAAAAAATATTCCGGTTTTTGTCATAAGAAGCAATGTGTTAGAAAAGGACATATCTGTAAGGAAAATGAGAAAGGTCTCTTTCTATCACATTATTTGTTATGAGCAAAAACGAGATATTTTTTTTTCTCGAAAACTGTTAGAGAAAAACCTATCAAACTTTATATAATTGAAATCAGGAAAAGCAGAGCTTTTCAATGAGCTAATAATATATATGGTGTCCTATTGAAAAAACCGGACTTTGGTCAATATCTCGAAGTTGGAGCCAACTAGAAAAAAACTGAGAACACACACTGAATTCAGCTCAAACAAGTACTTCTAGAAAGTTTTTACAGAAATCAATTATTTTAATAAACAGAAAAGTTGTGAAGGTTTCACAGTATTGCTCAAAATCGAGAATCGCACTCTAGCGGCTAAACCGTTAACGATATCAAAATGAGGTTTGCACCAATCAAAATTTCATGAAATTGGAGCCTTAGAGTGGGGGTTCATTTTTTTGTATCTCCCTCAGAAATTGACGTTTCTTATTAAAAGTGTTCAAATTGGCCTACCCTGTACATACACAAAACCAGACATTTCAAACATTTCATCCTTTTTAAATAGAATGCCCTTTATTTTCTTGTTTTAATTTTTTTACCAAGCAATAATCTTCCTATTTTATAAAATATACGTACCTATACTTAACTGTGATAATTATCGAGTTAAACTTTTTTCTATTTTCTTCCTTAAAATCCACAATAGTCACGTGTCAATTGATTTTTATTCAATTATTATTTCCATGGCAACAATTTTCCTAATTGACTTAATGATTATTCTGGAGCTTATAGGATTTCAAATCAATGAAATATGTTGGTTTTTATCGACACATGCAAACTGCGATTTTTTTGAAAATATGTCAACTATTTCAAAAACAGTTGAGTTTAAGTAGGTATACTTAGGTAATTCCTAAAAAAAATATGTAGGATTTTTAGAACTATCCATTAATGTAATAAGATATAGGGTGTTCCATTCAAAATAACAAAATTCTGTCGCATACCCCATTTACGGAGCACCCCGTATATTCAAAATTATTTTTAACTGTACCTTAGAATATCAAAAAACTTTGTAATTTAAGGAGATATCGTCCGATATCGCACTAAGTAAGTGGACACCCTGTAGATTTGAATTTAATTTTTAATGGATCGCTCGAATTGAGTATTATAATTATAAGAATACTAGTGACTTAATAAAATATTTACATGGTAGAAACAATAATTTATTGGAATTTCAATAAAATTATAAATTATTATTCAACCTCCCTAGTTTTACACGCATGTTTTTTTTGTGAATAGATTGTCGGAAATGATTTCCTAAAGCTTGAAATTTTGATAGGTGCTTATATTCATAGTGAAATTAACGAAAATAATTTTCCGCTGCGTCTATGTCGGTGGAAAAATCGTCCGCTGGTGCCTCCTAATGCGTTTATGCTCGGTATCTTTATCTTGCTTGATCCCACCAGCGGACGGCTTTTTCACCGACATACAGGCAGCGGACGATTGTTTTCGTCAATCTCAATAAAAACAGTAGCTTTCATCAAAATTTCAAGCTTTAGGAAATGGTTTTCATAATTACGGTTTTCGTCCCCTTTTGGGACATCAGCGGACCCTGATTCCACCACCGCCCACCCAGCGGACCATGTCTAGGGTACTTTATGAAACATAACCTTCTTCTCGTGAAAGTTTCGTGCTTTAGGAAATCGCTCCAAATATTGGTTTTTTTCCCGACTTTGCAACCCCCTAGCAACCCTCTCCACCGCTACCTAGCCAGCGGACGCCCCTCTGGCATCTCAGCGTCATAAATACTATAGGTTAATCATGAAACGGAGCTTTAGGAAATCGTACCCTATTTTGTACGCGGGAGGCAGGGGTAATATACCTATACTTCACCTTGTCGATGGTCACCTGCCGTCAGGAGTGAAAGTCCTGTACAGACTTGACGGTTACTCATTCAACCTGAACAGATTACGAGCCAAGACGAAAGTATCGACGACATCGATAATTGAATTTCGTGATGGTCAATACACAGGAAGTTCTTCAGGCAATTATGAATGCATTCTACCAATATACAGGAGAATCGGCCTAGAGGTCAACTTTAACAAGACGCAGATTCTGCACCAACCCGCACCGGATACTACACCCCAAGCCCCAAATACCATTTTTTGCAGAACGTAGGACACGACACTAGCCATTCCTTGGGAACCATCTATCAGCGAATGCAACCATTGACACCAAAATCCAGCATAGCTTGAAGAGTGCTAGCCCGGCATTCGAAAAAGTCTTCTACAATCAAATCAGCGCTGAGACCAAATTTCGCGTCTACAATGCAGTTGTAATATCAACACCTAAATGTGGCTGCAGACCAGGAGCTCATAACACAAAAAAGTTAGTCATTTGTAACAAGTAGGGCGACCACTTAGGGGTCGAATTGTCGAATTACGTAAAGAAGAAAATGAAAAAGATGATAACTTTTTTGCCGTTGGGGCCTAATCGCATGACTTGTCAGAAAAATTACGGGTTTTAATCCCGGTGGTGCTTATAGCCCGCCATACCAATCGCCTTAGTTTTCAATATTTTTTAGAATATTTGTAACGAGCTGTTTTTTTTTTCAACCGATCATCTTTAAGGAGTCATTCACGAAAAATCACCGTGCCATACCGCTCCGATGGTTCCAAGTAGCCGCCATAACACCCTAGAGACGTAGATTTCTTCAATAATGCTAAACGATTTGTAACAGTATGGCATTTGTTTTTTCGAAAGTTCATGATGCAATGTGACCGTTCAAATATTTGCCAGACTTATAAAAGTGCAAAAGTGGTGTCATACTTAAAAAATGGTTCTCTGAAACGTCTTCCAGCTACAATGATGTAATAGTATTTTACATTATTAGCCAGGTAAAACAGTTTTTACTGGCGATTGAAAGATATGACTAGCGAGCCGTCAGGCGAGCTTGTCACCTTCAAGAGCCAGTAAAAACTGCTACCTGGCGTATAATGTACAATAATTTATTTGTTACTCATTTGTAAAAGATACAAATGAAAAAAACCTAATTACTACATAACAAAATTTTGAAATTTATATGTTTTTCCTTGATTTTTTCTCATACAAGCTTTTGGTAGTTGGCATAACAGTTTATCACCAGAAAAGTCTTCCAGAAGGTACCTACAAGCAATTATTCTTATGATAAAACTGAATTTTTAAAAATAAATAATTCTGCTGACTTGTAAAAAGTTTTTACATTTTAGCTGTCAATTTTACAAGTCAGTAGAGCCAGTAGCTTGTAAAAATTAATTTTCGCTGTTTATGCTTTGACTTGATAAGTGACATTTTACAAATGAGCGATAAATGAAATTATTTATAACAGTATGGCATCATTTTATTCAGTTTGTTTCTATACGATTCTACCTTCGCAACAATTATCTAATACTGATAGGTACCAAGGGGCTGAAGAGTCTGAAGACTATCACACTTGCGCTAGGATGTGAAACACGTCTTCCATGACAGATTCTATACAGTCAACTGAAAAAGGGAAAACGAAATCAGTGAGGTCAACAAAAACGCTACAAGAATGTTCTTATGGGAAGAATATGGCATCGATAGCAGCAACTGGCGACGTTGCCACAGTGGTTGTCAAGTTTGTTTATTAATGAGCTGAAGGTATTTTTCAAATTATTTATTAGAGTCTGAGCGCAAAATAGTAGTTGTAAGTTGGTGAAGCTGGAGATTAGCCTACTGTCTAATTCTACTGATCATCAAAGAAGGTATAAGTTTTACTCTGCTGACAGTGATATTTAGCTGGCTGTTTTTTTTCTACAAGCGAGGCTACACTTATTGTTGATTGCTTTGGCGTGGGTTTTTCTCGCAATGTTGCCAATATGCCTAAGCCTTTAAGTGAAATGTGTGCAATAAAAACGTGAGTGATGAACAACAGGCGTTGTTATGTGACTTGTGCAATAATTGGAAACACCGAGAGTACGTGGGCATTACTCAAAAAGTCTACTATCAAATAAGTAAATCTTCAGATCAGTGGACTTGTAATAGGTACAAGGCTTCCAATAATGAACAAGAAATAACCCTAGCAGATATCATGGAAAAACTACTAACATGGAAGCAAGGCTCGTTGATATAAAAAGAAGGTTCAGTCCAGTATTTGAGCAGTTGAAACAACAAGAAGTGTTTAATGAGAATTGAAGTATATTGAACAAGAACTAGATGAAAGAGAACAGAAAGACCTAACAAATAATATTATTATTCAGGGTTTGCCTCTAGAAGAAAATGAAGTCCTTACCGCAGTTGTTAAAAAAGTTGGTCAACAATTGGAAGCTCCTAGGTAACTTTATTGCTTTTCGACTAGGAAGCCTAAATAAAAACAATTATATTAAAGTGCAATTTGAAAATTTGAAAGATAAAGAGAGGATTATGAAAACTGAGAAAAAATTCAATAAGGAAACTAAAAGCGGTCGTCAAAGGAATAAGTTGTTCATCAATAACGATCTGACAAACGCAATCTTTAATTATTCACTGCTGCTAAATCTTTCAAAAACGATAACAAGTTCAAATACTTATGGATCAGTGGAGAAAATATTCTATTGAGAAAGGATGAGAAATCAAAGGTAGGTTAGGTAATTGTTGTGGATGATGAAAATGAGCTTACAAGATAGGAATTAGAATAAAACAAGCTACAGGTAACATACATTGAGGAGTATAAGAAGCAAAATTGATATGGTGCGCTGCTAGGTATCAAATGACAACTGTGATATTTTATCATTAATGGAGACTTGGTTGGATGACAATGAAATAATAAGTTGATAGGAATTTTGAATCTTGAAATTAGCAACATTCTCTTACAGAGAGTAGCGTCTATAAAATATCTAGGGCTAAACAGTAGTTGTATTCCTTTCAAGAGTTTAGAACACTAGAGCTACTCGCTCCGGTGTTAGTTGACCTCGATTTGAAAGGAACAGATGCGATGGCTTTGGTGCATTTAAATGGTTTTCGAAAGAAATACGCGCGTAACGTCCCAGAGCTGATCCGGAGCTCCTCCTAGGTTTGGAAGGAATACAAAATACAACTATAGATGAGTTACTCAATTGCCTGACACATAATAGACTACCTCTCTGAAAAGCTTTATGCAATGGAACCATTAATTGTCTGTAAATGTAGAAATAGACCAATTAAAGTAAAATAAATATACAGGGTGAAAATTTGAAAAGTAGCAATCGTGAATATCTCTTAGACAAGAAATACTATCAGGAAGATCTCATCGGGGGATTGGAGGGGGTACCAAAATGAGGCATTTTTTGATTCACCCCGCCTCCCTCCTTAGGGGGTAGATACTCCAACTTATTTTTTTCCTAATACGAACCTACCTTGTGTTGCACATCGTTGGATAGCTCGTTGCTATTCCTTTACAGTCCTATTGAAAAATCTTAAATCGTACAATTAGTTTTTGAGATATCGGTATTTAAAAGTAAGCACATTGTGAAAACTAGTAATTTTGACTATCTCATAGACAAAAAATTCTGTCATAAAAGTCTCGAATACACATTGGCGAAACCAAATAATGTGTTTATCGAAATTCTATCTGCTTCTGCACCTCTCTAAGCATAAATAAAAAACTTTTTAAAGGAGCGATCACACGGGGTATAGGTTCTCATTTTAGAAAAATTATTAGGAGCGGCTAGCCCTCAAGACAAGAGGGGTGGGGGTTAGGCAATGAACACATTTGGTTTGCCTGATGTGTATTTGAGACTTTTATGACAGAATTCTTTTGTCTAAGAGATAGTCAAAATTACTAGTTTTCAAAATATGCTCACTTTTAAACACCGATATCTCAAAAATTAATCGTCCGATCCGATTTAAGATTTTGCCTAATATGACTGTAAAGGGATAGATAGCAACGAGCTATCGAACGATGTGCAACACAAGGTAAGTTCGTATTTAAAAAAAAAAAGTTAGGGTAAGTGTACATATTTCCGACACTGTAAGAAAGCAAACAAAGCAAACTACAGAAATCACCATGATAAAAATATAAAAGTGTATAAAATGTAGGATACTTTATAAAATATTTAACTTTGTTGATTTCTGAAATTGTTTCACTATGTATTCACTATACAATCAATAAAAAAAAGAAGTTTCCTGAAGACACCTGAAAATTTTCTCTGTCCAAAATTTCGACAGAGAAATGATCATAAATTCGACAGTGTTTTTAAATCCGACACATTAAGTACATAAATCAAACAAGACTTTCAGATCACAAAGCTGGTTTAATGACACAACTAAATGATTATAAAGCACTCAAAAATTAACTTTAATATCTGCAGTCTAGACAAATGAACCATACTTAGATATTTCCTCAACTTGGAAGCATCCTCTTTTTTTTGGGTGGTTGTATCACCTCCATAATTTCTATGGAGTCGTACCAAATTTCATCTTTTTCATCTGGCCGCTTCCAATTGAATCCACTTCTAGTTATGGTATTAATCAATATTTTTTCGTTCTCAATTCCAGTCACATTTCCCGGATGGTAATTATTTTCATAGTTTACAATCACAGAGTAAATTTCTCTTTTCGTCGACTTTCTCAATACATACTTCGCCATCATCCTTGCTAGCATTAGGCAACGGCAACACTTCTCCATTTTCAGTTGAATTATGTTGCTCAACCTTTGCATTTCTAGGTTTCTTTCTTGAAATATTACTTTTTTCAGCTCTCTTTCTTTTTCTGTTTTCCTTTTCCTCAAGTTGCTTATTTTTCTCTTCTTTTTTTTTCAGTACCTGATACTCTTTCCAAGCATCAGAAGTTGTTACAGAAGGTATTTTTTCCTTTTTTTTTCCTAGAAATTCTTTAGATGGAGTTGGTTCTGGCCAGAACAATGCTTTTTTAAATGGTGAGGGTACTGACAGGCTGGAATTCTTTTCAATATTCTGTTTCGTCCTGTCTGGAGATATGTTATCAATTATTTTGAGAACTTTTTTCTTTGCGTTTTCAGTTTTTTCTTCAGTAGTCTCCACTTTCTTGTTCTCGTTTATTTTGCCAACAGTTGCTTCATCTGCAGTTTCTCCAATTTCATTGTTTTGTTTATCCTTTAATTCTTCGGTCTCCTTATTTTTCTCTTCCTGAAAAGCTGCATTATTTCCTCCAGCTTCAATCTTCTTATCTTCGGTATTTTTCTTTTCATTTCCAGTGCTGTTACTATCATCATTCACTACGTTAGTCTCTTTTTCTATATTTTCTTTGCTTCCTTTGGCATCTTTACTTTCCCCTTGTACTTCCCCGGTTTCCTCTTTTTTGTTTTCTGGAATATTTTCAATACTTTTTTTTCTCAATGTCCGTTTCTACATATATAATTTCAATTTCGTCGTGTTCGTCTTCAGTTTTCTCTTCATTGCTTTTTAGGTGTTCTTCAGTAATTTCGTAATCGATTTCATCAGTCTTGGACCCTGTCAACATAGTATTTTGGATAGTATAGCTCTCGTTTTCAAATATCTCTTGGTCAAATTCATTTCCAGGTGTGTCCACTAATAACTCTTCCCAATCCCGTTCTAAATCAATCCCCTCCTCCACTTCAATTATCACGTTATTGACGTCATCTACAAATGTAGTATTTGTTGTTGTATTTTCAAAACTAAGTCCAGTTTTATTGAAAATTCTTAACCAAACTTCATATAAATTTTAATCCTCCGTATCTCCATCCCAGTCACCACCTTTCAAAAAATAACACTTTTGGAGAGTTGTATTTTCAATGTGGTTTTCTATGTATCTTAAATGTTGCACCACTTCCAATTTTATTTCTGGGTTATTATTAGATATGCTTTCAATATTTATAACATTTTGCACTACTTTCGTATAATCCACGTTAGACCTATCAGATGGGTATAAGCCGCAAACTCTGAATGAATTTTGGAATATATTTTTTACATTGGTAACATCCTCAAGTGCCATTATGAGAATAGGAGCAAAATTGTCTCTATTTAATATTTTGAATCCATTTTCCACCCTATAGCTTTGGATGCATTTTTTCCAACTCAGTTTTAAAGATCTAAATAATCCTACATCCAACGGTTGGAGAATGTGAGTAGTGTTTGGGGGTAAGCAAATTAGAATAGTTTGTTTTTCGGCACAAAATCTGCTGAGGCTTAGAGTAATGTGAGATTTGTGTCCATCCACGTATAGCAATATAGGAAATTCAATGTTCATGGATACTATCCAAGGATGAAAAATGTTTGATATATATTTAAAGAATGACTCGGAAGTCATCCAGCCACTGTCAGATTTTCCAATCCCCCAACCATCGGGAACTCACAAACCATCGGGAACTCGCATAACGAATTGGGAATTTTCTCATATGGGTACATGACCATCGGTGATGCCAAAACACCGTTTGCATTGCCTAAAATAGGAAATATTTTATCAATTTCTAAGTTAGAACAATCATGAAATTTTAATACTAATTCGCCTGTGATCAGTAAGTAAGACATTCTTTGTCATTGCCAGATTTTTCATAAACAGTTTTACTGCCTTTCTTTGCAAGAACAGCATTGCCCTAAGGAGACAGAAAAAATGCGGATTCGTCTGCATTGAAGATCCTATTGGGATCATTAACAAATGTATTGGAAGATATAAAATAGTTCTGGACTTCATCAAACCATTTTTTATTGCTTGCTTCGGTGACACTCGCGCGGAAGCACTAAGATTTTAAGCATCCTCTGAGAAATTTGGGGATGTCTTTTGAGGAAACCCTCATACCAATGACGCCCAGGACGTCCATCATTGAACTTATTGGGTCGTTTCAATTCCTTAAAAAAGAAGTGTTACGCTGTCCAACAATTGGTCTTTGTTGATGGGAAATCCCATTTTTGCCATATTTAAGATCCAGATCACTAAAATGTCTTCTTCTTGAGATGTCAGTATAGTTGACACTCCACTTTTATACTCCTCAGGGTAGGCTCCTTTGATTTTCCCTATTAAAGTTGTTCTAGGAACATGGTATGTTTTTGAGGCAACAGCGCATGGCATGCCATTTTTTATGTCTCGTGAGGCATTTTGTAAGTCTTTTTTGGCGTAAGAGCAATATTTTTTCGGCGGCATCATAGAAAAATATATTCATATATTCAAAATTCTATTCGGTTATATACCTTCATTTTTACATATATGAAACATGACCCCAAATCCGATACTTTTGGTACTTAAATCAGACACACTCTCGGATTTAGCTCATTTGCTTAATAAAATGTCAGGCATCAATGCAAGCTATGTCTCGTATTTTGTTTATGTCATTTTTTCAAATACATCTTATTCGAAGATACATTGTCCATAAATTCGACACAGATGTCGGATTTATAGCAACACAGTTATTTCTGAACGTAAATCCGACACCACCAATATTTATCAAAATAAGTAAATTTTATGAAAGTCATGCATTTTTTAATAATATTTCATGTGTAGGAAAAGGAGATCAACACATAATATGGTCAGAAATCAAGTCAAAAGCCTAATTACATTAGTTCAAGAACAAACCGTTTACCGTTTTTCTCCTATCTTAGAACGTTTACACTTCACAGAATCACTTTCGCTTTGCACAAATGATTTGACATTTTCAGGTTAAGATTTCCCGATGATGGTCCAGTCGGTAAAATAGAGAACCGATATCAGAATTTTATTACCAATGGAAGATGCCACTAGATGTCTTCTAAAACTATTTTGTGGTCAAGTTTTCTTATTTTAAACAACATTGTTTTTGAACTTTGACGGATTTATGGACACTGTCGGAATTATGTACACTTACCCTAGGGTAGCTACCCCCTAAGAGGTGAGGCGGGGGGGTGACTCAAAAAGTACCTCATTTTGGTTCCCCCTCCAATCCCCCGATACGTATTTGAGATCTTCCTGATAGTATTTTTTGTCTAAGAGATATTCCCGATTGTTACTTTTCAAATTGTCACCCTGTATATAACGCCTATTTTTTAACGCACTTGAGATACCATATAAAGTGCGACAACTGAGTGAACCTTGGTAACGTATGAAGTAGCAAAACGAAAACCTATACTATACGACGCGACGGGTCCCCGACGTGGTGCATTGCGAAAATTGCGGTTAGCCTGACGCGACGACCCGCGTATATGTATATTTATTCTCGCGCCAATCAGGAGGGTTTTGCCCGCATTCCTTCCACACAGGTTCATTCAGTTGTTGCACTTTACCAATCTGGGGAATATGCACTAGAACCTCATTTCGGATAATACAGACATTACAGAATCAGAATAAAATTTCAAAAATTCTCTGTGATTATTACTTTTTGAGTTGTTATATAGGGAACTAGGTACCTATCTGTAGAGTGGAAAAGATTTTGATGTCGGAGCAATGTAAACTAATGTTCAAAATAATAAATAACCAGCAGCAACAGTGCAACTCTACAATATTATTTTCAAATGAGATACACAACTACATCACCAGATCAGAACAAACTATTAAGGTATGTATCTCATTTTCTATATTATTATAGTACATATTATTATATTGTTGTTTTTGGGTATATACGTGTATATTGTCTATAGGTGACGGTTTGGTAACTAAGCTTTGGGATTCGAGAGAAGTAAATTGCTTGTTTTCTTCGTTACCAGTATTTTAAATACTGGAGTTGAAAAATGTTTACCGATATTGTATTTATGTATTTTTTATGTATTTGTTGAAATATATGATTTAAAAAAAAAATAGGCCCTCATGGCGTCGAGTAGTCCACGACGGACCACAAACTTTTGAAGAATATCAGCGACGCAGACACGACAGCGAAAGGAGCAAGAAAAGAGGAAGAGACAATGCTGCCAGAGGCTGAGTGTGCCAAGACTGTGAAGAGAGTGCGGCTCCAGTATTGGATTATATACCTATTCGAGTCTAAAACTGGCGAGATCATGGCATTTCTATATCTTTTGTTTTTTTTTTTGAAAATCCATATGAATCTTTTTATCAATTTTCAAAGCATCCGCGGTTTTCTAATCCTATAATATAAAAATGTCTTGAGTCTGGTTTTCCAGAAAAAAAAGTTGTAAACTTACCAAGTATCTTATCTGGATTATGATGGACGAACTATTGAAAAGCAAAACTTTATTATGGCTTGTATATAAATTATTATAGAAAAATAATACATATTTCAAATAATTCCATTCCAATTTCATAATTAAAATTTGATAGACATAGCTGTCGTCGCGCGGCACATAGAAAATTATTTGACAATCTTCACAACTTCAGTTTTCCAAATCTTTTTCCAATTGAAAGTGAAACTTCTCAAAAATTGGGAGAAATAGGTAATCAACTTTGCAATTAGTAGTTAATAGTAACATTTTGTCGAAATGTTGCCTTTTTGAATCATTTAATAAATCACATGCGTAATTTTACCCGAACTAATTGACTTACCTTCGATCGCTTTGAAGCTTAAAGCACCTCCAACAGTGTAAATTAATAGTACAATAGTCAGAAAACAATGCGTAAACCACTTTTTACTTAAAGCTTTTACTTTACTATACAACCAGTATGCGCACCGCTCACTAGCACCTAAACTTGTCTTAGCAGTACTTAAACCTAAATCTCTTAATTGATTTATGTGGTCGAACATTAACGAAGGTTTCCTTTTAGGACCATCTTCTGGAACGTTCAAAAATACCCTCGGAGAATTTTGCGATGTTCGAGGAGGTGGAATTATCAAAGTCGGTCTGGCGAAACCGACTTTCTTTTCAACACTGGGAATTGATGGTAATGGTGGTGTTACATCTGGCGGTGCCGGTACAGAGTTATTACTTTCCATATTATAAACAGTTTATACAAACGTTTCTATAATTGATTTAATTAAAATCCGAGCGATGTTTTTTCTTTATTTTTGGAACACGGTGGCACGAGGTCGGTAGCGCGGCGCCGTGGAACGACTGGACAGGGACACCAGAGTATATTACACGCGTTTTTTTCCCACAAATATTAGTAAACAGGTTATTAATATTGCTTTTTGTTGAAACTGCTGAGTGTGGATCTTGTCTTAGTCATCTTTTTTTTTTCTGAAGGGAGGTTGGAAGTCGACCAAATTACGGACAACTACACGGACACACAACAATCTAGAACTTACCAAAACATCAAAACATAATATGGTTTATTTGAATTTCCCCATGTTTATGATGCGGTATCAATGCATTTAATTTTTTTCATAGTAGTATACTCAATTTCAATTATGTGATTTTTTCCTTGGACTCCATGTGGGAGTATTTTTTATAATTCTTGCTTGCTTGATGGGTCACTACCCGTAGTGTTTTGTTGTAGATACCTACATCAATACGTTAGTTCGAATGGTTTCTGGATGTTTGGTTGTTCTTATTCCAAGGGATGTAATCCCTTGGCTCTTGGCTCTCTACCGAATGTTGAGAAGCGCTTGGTTCTTAACAATTTTTGGCAAAAATCGCATTTGGTATGTTGGTCTTCTTCCTCCTCGGTTGGTGCATGTACGTAATCCGACTGAATCGTCGTCAAAAACCGAGTGTTTTTCAACGGTCGGTCCTCGGTGGAGAACCAGCAGATGCATACCCAGAATAGCAACAACCAAACATTTATGCTGCCTTCTCTTCCGATGAACCTACTTTTTCTAGAATTTTTGCTCCCATCGTTCTCTTTCCCTGTTCTCTCTAAAGACCCTTATTTTTTCTCTAGATTTAGTTTGTATATTTATTTATAAAAAAAACACACCGTTCAGCAATCTGCATCTTCCTTCTTTCGTAATCCTAGATGTGTATTGGGCCCATAACTTATTGCAGAATGAAAACAGCGTAGCTGTTTCAACGCATTATTTCGGCTTTTGAAACAATTTAGGTACCTATTTTAAAGTTATTATGATAAAAATGTAACTTATGGACGTAGAACTGGCTTCGATATCGTGCCGTAATATCTACTAATTTATTAACTGGCTGTTATTATTACACTGCTAAATATTTTTTCTTTACTGGATTGAGCTTTTTTGGATTATTTACTAGTATTTTGAGTCCTGAATGCATCATCATGACATTCTTCTCCATTCTTCTATTTGAAATGTGTCCTTTATATTTTCACTAGCTGTTCCCCGCGGTTTCACCCGCAGTTTAATTTGAAAGAAATCAGATTATTGGAGTTTTTGAAAGATTTTTTTTTGTGTTGCAATCAAATCCGCTTTTAATGAGTGAGTGAGTGAATGAGTAAGTTCCAGATATTAGCGCACAAACAAACTCTTCAGCTTTATTATATTTGAATTTTTATATTTTTTGACAAAAAAATTTGAATTTCTAAATTTTTTAATAAAAAATAATACAGTTACGTCGATTTGAACTTTACATAAATGTGGCAATGTTGGTTGATGTCAATGTAAAAAAAAAGTTCAACAGTGCGTTCGAAAAAACATCAGACAAAATTTACTCTTCTGAGGGTCAGTTTCTCAATAGCGAGTCACTTCCGGATTGGTTTTAACTCCAGGGCAAACGTGTCCAGTTGCAATGTTTAACCTGGAGTTATGCTTAACCCGGAAGTGACTTTCTATCGAGAGACTGGCCCTGATCACGTGACACCACTCTCACTCTTGGGTAAAATTTACTCCTTTTTCGAACGCATTCACTCCAAAAGTTGAATTATGTATGTGAATGAGTTTGTTTATAATAATTTTTATTTTATTTTTTTTGTCAATATTGTTCTTTTTTATGAGAAGAAAAGTGTCCTATGTCCTTAACTATATTCTTGAAAATATGTGTACCTTCAAAATTCCATCATGATTATTGGTTTAGTAGTTTATTCGGAAAAGCCTGACAAACAACCAAACAAGCAAACAAACGAACAAACAAACAAACTCACATTCGCATTAATGATATTAGTTAGGATTATCATCACAACTAATTGAATTTTTTAAATGCTCCGCTCTGTATGTTTCAGTTTACTATGACACAACGTGCGTAGGCAGTTTGAAGTATTTGAGACGAAAATATCATTTTGAGCATAGGGAAACGGAACGTTCTAGCGTCGCGGTCGTAAATGTCTGTCAACGCTCTCTGCTTTGGGTTTTTTTTTATAAATACTTAAGTATACATTTTTCCAAACTTTCTATATGACTTTGGCAACGGAAAAGTATAATTTATTGAATCAATTTGCATGTTAATTAAATAACATCCCTTTAGAAAATGTCTCATCAATTAAGTACATAGGTCTCCAAATAGATGAATTGCTGAACTGGCAAAAGCATACTGAGCATTTAACTAATAAAATCAATGTAATGGTCCCAATTCTTTGTAGGTGTAGAAACTATCTCACAGACAAAACTAAATTAAATGTTTACAATTCATATTTTTTGGCCCATCTAAGGTACCTATTACCAATTTGGGGAACATGTACAGACGGTACTTTTAACACAATAAAAGTAATACAGAACAAAATTTTAAAAATCCTTTTCAATTTTGATTTATTAACACATACAGATTTAGTATATAGCCAGATAGGAGTGTATAGGTTGGATCAGATACTGATACTGGAGCAATGTAAATTGATGTACAAAATTGTTAATAATCTACAAAAATGTAATTCCCATATAATGTTTTCAAATGAAATTCATAATTATGGCACCAGGTCTGTTAACAATTTGTATATTTCACATAGTAGAATAAATATAGGCTTAAATTGTCCACTCGGATCCACATCTAGGATATATAACAACCTACCAAATAGTATAAAAAACTCTGATAGTTTAAATAGTTTCAATAGGCTATTGAAAAGTTATATAAATGATACTGTCTAATCATTTGTTATACCTACCTGCTGTTAGTGTGATAAGAGCCTCCTGTTAAGTTTTTGTTATCTGTATTTTTTTTTATATAGATTTATGTAATGGCTACCGCCCATAGTTCATTTAGAATTTATCAGTATTTTTTTTTTCTTGAGACCAGTGTTTGGAACACTGTTTAAAAAAACTTTGAACTTCTATTGTATGTATTTGTTTTGTAATGTCTGAAAATCAGAGGTTGAATTGAAAGTGATTAAACAAAAAGGAAAAGAAGTAAAAAATAAAACTACGGCAGAATTAATTTAGCCGGACTCACGATACCACAACCCTCTTTACGTATCCAGCCATGAACAAACATGTGGCAACACTACACCATCAATGACTTGGTGGTAGGACCTTCGCGTGTTGCTTCGCGTCCTTGCAGCTTGCAGTTCAATTTGGCAGTTTAACAAGGGTTATGGATAAAAAATATAATTTTTTTCAATGTAAATGTTTTATTTATAGTAAAAAAGTACTTTTTATTGAGGCCCAGTTCGAGGGCAAGTTCTAGCAACATCTTTACAAAACAGAACAAATCTAAATCATCGAGTAATCATCTAACTAATTATACAAAGAAGCAGAAACATACACCTAGGTAGGTCCTATATGAATTTAAATTTAAACAGATGTGGTTGGATACCAAATTATACTTATTATAGTGAAAGATAATCATCTTCGCGAATGATGGCTGTTTCCGAAAAGTGTAAAGCACAAACAACAGAATATTTTGATGGTGTCCAGTTATCCCTAGGGATTAATTTTAACCATTTTTCTCTTAAATCGTTAAATCACCATCATTTGGAATTTTAAAGGTAGAAGCAGCTGTCTTACCTTGTTTTATGATACTCTCATAATTGGATTTGCATCATTTGCATCCCGGGACACAGTACGTTTTCGGCATAATAAATTATTAAATTCAGAAATTTGAGGGTACGTAGGTACCAGTAAAAGATAACTGTTCACTTTAAGTTTTGAAACACAACGAATTTAGGTCCAGAAACTATTATTGTCTCGATTATTGTTTACAAACACACAACAAACACAACAAACAGCGCGGCCCAACTTCGACTGTACTTATTTATTCTATAAGGACAGACATTTTTATAAAACCTAATTAGGTAACTAAAACTTACTCAATTTTAATTTAAATAAAACCCGCCTCCAGAATAGCAACCTCTTATACCATCCAGCCCTGCTTTTAAACAACTACATCAGTTTAGTTTCTAGTGCATATCTGGAGTTTGCATTTGCAGCACCATTTTCGAATCTTGCATTGGTATGGATACTTATTGTGGTTAGTTTTACGCTGTGTCTAGCCTCCCGGCACCGGTATTCATACGAATCCCGGTTATGACGCGTTTTCGATGACTCCATCAACGACCGCCGGGATTTATCGTGGGTCCCGGCTATTGGATTCAAAATTCAAAGTCGTGTTTCTCTTGCTGCTTGAAGCTGTGATTAATTCCGGAATAGCTTTTGTGTATTATGGTTTCTTAGAGTGGTGAGTACTTCGTTAATCCACTTTTCGTAGTAGTAGTGGTTTAAAAAGGGAATAGTATGGTTTATTTTCATTCATTATTCAGAACTATAGCCTTTTTAACAGCCTGTATCTCTGAAATAGGGTACTCTTGGACCCATGTTTATAGGAATTTTTGCTCTTAATTTGAGATGTAGAATCCGCAATTAAAATATTAACCTCTAATTTTGGGGCACCCTGTGTAATGTTGCTGAACATTAACGGCGTTGCTGTACAAGATCAAATGCTGAACAAACTTTCAAAATGACCCTGTACCTACCTACATATTATAATAAAAAGTCATAATTTTATTTTCCATTAATGAAAGCTTATCGCGCCCGACTTTGTTTACTTTTTTCACTCTTCATAATAAATCTGCCCCAATAGCAATGAACATAATAATTATTAACATCTTATATAGCCGGGATCCACGACAGTTACCGGTGGTTGTTGATGACGTCATTTAAAACGCTCCCTAACCGGGATTCGTATGAATACCGGTGCCGGGAGGATAGACACAGCGTTAATTTTATTATCTTCCATATCCCAACCAAAATTAACTGGGTTGGGAATTTCTGGATTTAT